AATCAGCCAAATTTATACCTAAATCAATTGACCCCAAAATGGCAAGCTGATTCTATTCCTGGTTTATCTTCATTTGGAAGATTTGTCTCAATACCACATGCATAATTTAAGCTATGGGGCATTTATACAACATATAAATACTTACTGCATTGATTGGTCTTGCATATGAATTGCCTTCATCCAATGCATTCATCCATGCATTTGAAGAGCGTTGTGATATTGCTTATTATGGTCAATCACAAGTAATATAAATAATACACAACACTTGACAAGCAAAAAATTAACCTTATTTCAGTTCTTCAATATTTGATTACTTGCCATTCACCCAATCTTGCACCAGCCGCTCGTCACTGCACAAAGCGTGATCCAACGCGATCGAAAAATGGCGATCGCTTCCGGTGGACGCTAGAACGTAGTACCGCGGGCGTGGTCTTGATGAAAGCCATTACACTGATTAAACCACAACCCCTTCTTCTTAAACCCGATGCTAGTTCGTGCAAAACCTTCAAAGGGTTTATCTTTCGCGCGCTTGGTGTGACGTAATATCACGTGACTAGGGAGAACGAAGAAGAACCGGTGTTGGTCGAGTTGAAGCCCCCCTGGGGCCACTAAGATTGCACGCGAAGAAGCAGCACGTGTCTTCGGTCTATGTGAAACACTGTGTGTGTTCTTCATGAACCAGACGTTCTGCTTCGCCTCTAAGCCAGTTTACCCTAATACCCAAAAAACCTAAGTGTGGAATATTTTAAGATGCTTTTGCATAACGTTCTTTCAACTTGTTTTCAGTGTTCCATATAAGGCGAACGGCTGATTCTGGCGCCGGGGCTTCATTCATGCTAAGGCGCCCAATCACAGCGCCGCATTTCAGTTAGTGTCGGGCGCAAAAGCTGCTATGCTCCGCCCCTCCATCACGTGACCCTGCCCTCACGTGGCCTCAGTCACGTGGTGTTTCCACTTCTTGGCGCATGGCGGCGCTAGTCTCGCAAGGGCGGTGGTAGCTTGCTCCCCCGCCGTCCGGAGGTGATGGGTAGCAAGTGCTGGTGACTGTACGTAACGGTCATGTGGTAACCGACGGACGAGCAAAATTGAATGACTCATGGAACAGAAGGATATATGATGCTGAATATTCTAGACTTTCTTCATGTCGCACCGTGTTAGGATCTGTCTTTCAGCCAGTTACCTCCGGTCCGCCGTGTCAGTGGTCGTACTCGTATCGCATCAGACGTGACGCTACACCTGAGCCGTCCGTGGATCGGGTCGGGGCCGCGTCACGACGGGATGCGTTACGACGATGCAGGATCAACGTGTCGGTTGGTAGTGGTGGTACTGTGATACAGTGGTTTGATACAAAGGAAGTTATAGAGCTGCCAATGTACCTATACTGAAGAATGCAGTTTCATCCATTCAGGCTCAATGTTGACTTGATGTCATCCTAGAGGAAGTCACAATGACTTATAAATAGTCATGCACGGGTTACGAGACGCAGTGTCTATACCAGCCGACCGCTGATGGTAAGCCCAGTCAGTTCATGGGTCGAAACTGAAATGAAACGACTAACGAGATCCCATGAGTTTTCAGGACAAGATTGAGTTTCGGGACCTTGTGGAGGAGCCTGTGTTCCCCGCAGCGAGTCAAATCACTTTTTTTGGACTCAAAAATGAACTCTCCTGCCTGCATTTTCTGAATTATCGCTTTTGCCGGCGGCAATCGAGATGAACCGAGATCTCGCTGTTGCAGACCTGCGGGATGGCGTAGAATCGAATGCCCTGATCCAAGCGACGTGCTGACTAATGTTCCTTGCCTGGCGAGGCAAGATGCCGATTATTTCTTTGCCTGGTGCACCAGAAGTTCTATGTTATTAATATGACATATCTATTGTCTACACTGAGCCTGGGGAGTGCGGAGTCGCTCAGGAAAGAAACGCTCCACTATTGATTACATAGTTTTTTAATTGCTGGCCTTGATCGGCTGTGCTACAGAATGGGCCACTGATTGCGCGGATGAGACAAAATAGGAAGAAAATGTGTTCAAAAAGTGAACAAGCGGATGGTTGCTAGGCGACCTAGTTCTTTTGCTTTGAAATTGCGGCTGGTTGCCGGGCAACCTGCAATTATCAACCACTTCGTACGTGACGGAATTATTCTGAACATAAATGAATTTCTAGGTCTTGTTTTTCCGTATTGGTATGGAGTTACGCCAGATTTTATCAGATTTACGGTATGTTCCGTACATCACTTTCAGGACTTTTTTATATTTGCAGCTTTTGGGTGTTGTAGCCTCTAGGTATATAGGGCCTTGTGTTGTAGTATAGGGGCCATTGTATGTTGTATTGGGCCATTATGATTGTATCAGTATGGGGTAGGGTGTTTCATTACACTATGGTAAAATAATGTTGGTTCAAAACTCAGCCATATCGACTTTGCCCCAACTCTACCCGTAAAACTGAATCGATTGATACGCTTGAAACCCAAATTTAAGTATATTTAGGGGTCGCACACTTTTGTCACCAAAACTCGTTACACAGAGAAGGGGGCACATCCTTCCTTGGTGCGCTTGGGCAGCGCCTTCCGGTTGAGTTCCACGACTCGCAGGCCATCGTTGTTAGGGCCCTGCCGCCCTCAATAGACCGTTGCAGAGCCCTCAGATGCCAGCATAGCCCCCGCAGCCTGGTTGTGTTGGGGCCCTCAGAGGCCGTCGCTGGGCCGCCTGAAGCCAAATGGGCCCTCAGACTTGATTTGGGTCTAGGGCCGTCACGAGGGCCCTCAGAGACCGTCGTAGAGACCCTCAGGGGCCAGTGGGGCCCCTGAAGTCCTGTGGGACCCTCAGCGGTCGTCATATGGTCATGAGGGCCCTTAGTGGTCGTTATAGGGCCCCAGGGGACAGAGTTCGTCGTGAGAGCCCACAGAGATCATCGTAAGGGCCCTCAGAGGCCGTCATAGGGGCCCTCAGAGGCCAGCGTGGGCGTGGCCCCTGGCGTCTCTGTGGGACCCTCAGCGGTCGTCACGAGGGCCCTTAGTGGCCGTTGTAGGGCCCCAGGGGACAAAGCCCTCAGGTGGGAGCCCTCAGAGATCGTCATAAAAGGGCCCTCTGAGGCCGTCGTGGGGCCCTCAGATGCCGTGTGGAGCACCAAACGCGGCTCGGGACACTTCTAGCCGGTGTGGAGGCCCCGACTAGCATGGGACGCTCCTGACCATAAATAGACACCCCGGATGATTCCACATCAGTGTTCGTTTCCCGATCACTGGTTTTCAGGAGAAAATGTATTGGATGGTGCGACGGGCCCCTTGTATGGATTTTGGGGGTGCAAAAAAGATATGTTTGCACCCCCATGTTTTTCGATGGGGGTGCAGCTGCACCCCCTGCACCCCCTATTCCGCCGCCACTGCCTGGCTTTCTCAACCAAATCAGTTCGCAAGAAGACTACTCATGTTACGCCCAGAAACAAAATCAGAGATGAAAAGTCGCAGAAATGTGCGACCTCTAAACATCATCAGAATGAAGTGAAATTTTACACAGAAACTTGTGAGCAGATGACATTTGAGGGGAACATCGATATGACTCGCAATATGGCACTTTGAAAATGTGAAACACCCTAGTATGGGGCCATTTTGGATGTTGTATAGTAGAGAGGCTGTTATCCATATTCAACTTTCCTTCATTACAATCCTAAGGTGCATTTCAGCTCTCATCATGATTCCTGGGTTTCATCAAGATTCTTACAAGTAGGATTGCTGGGCCTTAGGTTCATTGTAAAAGGCAGAGTGGCCTACAATTAACAAATACCGAAAGACCTTTGCAGGCTTTCCGATGCTGGCTGAGCACTATAGGAGTGAAGGATAGGTAACCAAATACCAATTTCAAGTTGAAGTGCAATTGACCCAGGTCCCAGCCATTCTTGAGAGTAAAAGCTACTGCAGGCTGCATGCACACATGCTAAAAGTGAGACCTTAGCTGACTTGAGTAGGGCACCATATTAAGCAGTCCCTCACCAGTTACCAGCTTTGGGCCTAGTTGGCCAAGCTGTTCTTGAGATGTTTAAGGGAATATACCACTTTTAACATTGAGCTTGAACTGGAATATCAGTTTTGTAGCTTGAGCTGAGACTACCAAAAATCAGGAGCTTTTACAACCCAACAATTACCCTAGGGAGATATTTTTCATTTTTTATTCTGAAATCAGTGCCTTATGCAGGTATGTGGTGCCTTACCTACCATTACAGAAGAATGCAAAGGATGCAGTGACCTCTAGGCTCTGGCAGGGACCAACTTAGCCAATCAGCATTCAGTTGGTTTTGAACTATGAAATATGATTGGTTAATGTGTAATAATTAATAAGCTTCTGCTGCAAACTTTGTTTGCCTCTACCAAAGAAGGAAAATAGTTATTCCTACATTTAAATATTTTAAATGTAAGTTATGGATATGATTTATTTTCTTTTTGATCATTTTCAGCATAAAAATCATACAACTGTAGCATTTCTAAGTGACCCCTGCACATGCACACATGCAGTACCTATTATGATTACCTAACACTCCAGCTATGATGCATAGAAATGTATTTCCCTGTGAGGTATCACCTGTTGGCTACCTATTGACTGCTTGTAGCTCAGTTCAAGTTGAGCTTAAGCAGTTGCAAATACATTGAGGCTGTCAAAAGTGTCGCAAAGCCTGGCAGGGCTGGGCTTCCCATACTGAGATTTTGCTGTTGAACTACAGGTTAGGTAACTCTTTTGCTTCCTGTGCTTTCACTCATTAATAAGACCAACCATGGGTCTCTTATCCAAGGTCTGATTATGATGATTAAGTGGATAGTTCAGATCAGCTTACTTTCTTGGATCAGTGCAGCTGTTGAAGAGTCAGTCAGTCCAACAACTTTATAGATGTGGCATTACATAACTGGTCACCTTGGCCATTCATGAGTGAAGTGTCATTTTATCTAGTTGTCATCTATTATTGTATTTGCTCCTCCTAGATCAATAACGTAAGATTTGACCTATTTCAGGGTGAAGCACAGGTGACGTGTCACCCACAGTGCCACCAATACTATACGTGTCTAGCCATGCTGGGTGTCATCATCTTCGACCGTCTGAACGACGTCATGTTCTCTCACGGGGACGAGAAGTTTGAGGAGCACATCCGGTGCATGGCGGCGCGAAATGGCCTCTTCTACCCGGCCTATTCGGACACGGTGAGCGTCGTCTGTATGTTGGCTGTTGGATCACTGTTAGTGACTATTGGGATCCCACCATCCATAGGAATGATTTAGGTACTGGTATCCGTCGAAGCCATACTAGTGGGTATTGTGGCACGTCAGATGTGGGAGACGCCTTTTATGCCCCTGAAATATATCGTGTGGCCGGTGATTTCAGATGCCGGAGCAGTGTCCTATTTTTCAGACTTTTTGGTGGCAAATCACACCTAATGGGGAAAATGTTTTCATCCAAAAAAATATGTATCACTGACTTATTACACCATTTTGCAAATATACTTCAGTTATTTATTTCCTTTTTTCTCATTCTAGGATTTTTTCATCATCAGCACACCCAACCAAAATCCAATTTTAGAGCACTGTGCCTGAGATAAGGGTTACGCCACTGAAAGTATGACTGACGTACCTATAACCTGTAACGTCAGATACCGGAGACGCACGTTACCTACCTACGCCACTGAAAGTATGAAAGTATTTGACTTATGGCCTATGATGTCAGATGCCGGAGACGCGGGTTACGCTGCTGAAAGTATGACTGACTTATGGTCTATGACGTCAGATGCCGGGTTATGCCACTGAAAGTATGACTGACGTATGGCCTATGACGTCAGATGCCGGAGACGCGTGGGGAGCGCGCGGACGTGCTGCTGCAGTTGTTCTCGCCGTTCCTGGCGTCCCAGCGCATCATGGCCATGGAGTTCCGCGACCCCTACTCGGAGGTCGAGTGCGAGGACGGACTCGTCATGGTCTTCCACGAGGTAAGGCAAATGTCCAACCGGCCTGACCTGACCTGACTTGACCTGACCTGACCTGACCTGATCCGACCCGACCCGGCCCGTACTCGGAGGTCGAGTGTGGGGACGGACTCGTTATGGTGTTCCATGAGGTGAGCGAGGTGCTGGTCTGACCTGACCTGACCTGACCTGACTCATTCTGGGAGGAGGGGCGAAGGGATGGAAGCATGCTATATGATGTACTGACGTTTCATCTACGTACCTTTCTACCGTACCTTTCAGTATCTGACGTGCCACTGCCGTCCTCCTACAGCACTTGACATACCAGTGCCATCCTGTTTCAGCAGCTGACGTTTCACTTTGTTTCAGTACCTGACGTACCATTGCCGTCCCGTTTCAGTACCTGACATACCAGTGCCTGTGCCTGTCTCGTCACTCGACCCTCTCGCCCCGAAAGTACGTCTCTGCCGCCGTCAGCCTGGCCAAGCTGCTCTGTGGCCCCGTGCTCAGCAGGTGAGGAGACTGTCGGATCTGTCCGAGGTGGGGTCACGTGACCGGTTAGTGTCGGAACAGGCCGGTAGGTGGCGGTGGGGCAGCTGCACCACAGCGGTCGGGGAGGGTCGAAACGATGCATTGAATGATGGGTGAGGGCCTGTATCTGGATTTTGTATTGCCAATGGTCTTTGAGAATATGCAAGGCTGGGGATTACTGAGGAGCAGCTATGTTTGCATTAATTTGACGCGCATTGGTATTTCTTAGCTTTACAATTAAGAATTAAGATGAATGTCAAGTCAGATGAGTTTTTTATGATGAGAAGGCTTAGTTGTAAGTGTCGAGTGGCATGACTAGTTGCAAATGAATGCATATTGCCCTTATAATAACAGAACTCTTAAAATTTGATTAATTACTGGGCCCATAAGAAGTGTTGGGGTTATTAGTTGCTCTTTCATAATGCAACTGAGTTCGCCTGACCTCTCCTAGGCTCGACAGCTCCTTCATTAAGTATAAAAAAAAAATTATCAGCAACGTGCCCTCATGGGCTCCAATTGATACCCATCATTAGCTTCGTATCACGAAACTTGATCGCTTATCAGTGGTCATGTTTAGAAGTTGAGGAGCAAAATGGCTCTTAGAGAACTGAATCAATGTGCCGGAACAATTTGGAAACCCGAGTATTGCATACTTCGGTGACCAAAATATGATGAGGGCACTTTTTGTCTCGCTGGAGAGGTGTTTTGTCGTTTTTTCTGTAAGGAAACGAGAGATTAATGTTCATTTAATTGGTACATGCTGCCGGTGACCGCGGGTGTTTTTGCTTAGAAATTGGATGAAGCTTATCCTTTTCCGCCACTCCTGAATTTATCGGAACGTGGTTATTAGCAACAGTTACTGAGAAGTGTGAGCTTTCGATGCACAGAAATACAGGCAAGTCAATTGAGAAGTGTCGCATTTCCATGGTGTCCGAGTTCAGACAGCGGTATATTTTACACTGCGTATCTCTCTTAGGTGAGGACGAGATTACAGCTTTGCACCGATTCTAAGTGTACTCTTCGGTACTTGTGTCAACACTGCCAGTCAATAACCGGCGGCGGAAATCGCCCCCAACATCTATTACGGTTTTATAATCGAACTCGCTCTGGCCCCAAGACCACTCGCGGTACACTCAGCATTATCGCATTAGGTGATAATCATCCTCAAGGAGCCGGTGCCTGTATGTGCCACCTGGGGCCGGTGCTATTTCTGGATGGCAGTCGGTCTCTCCTGAGTGGAGGTCCTCCCCTCCCCTCCGCTCTCCGTGGCTTCCGGTGGTTCTTTCAGCTCCTGCGGCCGGCGGGAGAGACTAGTCGTGTGGCTATCGCTGCACGGCCCCGTAGGACACACAGTTGTGCCTATCTCGCAATCATACGGTGACTTGTTTGTACCATTCAATCATCAGTCACTCCTGATTCTTTAATGCATTCATTGTTGGCGTAGATGGTCTCCTTTCTTCACATCAGCTGGGTTAGGTAAGACTAGTTCAGGAGCGTCTGGGTAAATGCTACAAATAATTAAAATCATTAAACAAACGTTATAAATCAGGCATGGCCAGCGTTTCTTTCTCCGCCTCTCGACAGACAGTCGATGTTCCGGTCTTCTCGCCCGAATACCAGGAGACGGCGCTCGCATCGTCGGATCTGCGTCTGCCCTAATCGGATTATATTCATTCACCCGCGATTAGCATTAGTCCGCCCACGTCACGACCCCCCCCCCCTTGGAGACTGACTATGCTAGTCACCCCCCCCCCCCCCGCCACCCCCACCCCCCACTTCCCCAGCTCCGTATCCGGGATTGTCAGTGAGGCTCGGCCCACCGTCTACCCCTCCCCCGCCCCATCTAATCGTCTGTCTCTATGTGTCTGTCTCTACCCTCTGGATGAGTTTCCGTTTTCCGTCCGTATCACTGTATGTGTGTGTCTGTGTGTGTCTGACGCATATAGCGACTCTGTCTGTGTGACGTCTGGCCGTTGTCAGCCGGCGCTGCGTCTCCGTCTGACCTGTCACTAACGCCCCCCGCCCGCCCGCCGACAGGCTAAAGTCGGGAGACGGCTCACTGTCACAGATGCTGAGCGCCATGCTGATGTCATACTGTCAGCTGCAGCGCTCCAACCAGGCCTACCACGTGGAGGCGGTGGAGAGACTCATCATCGGCGACCAGGTCCAGAACAAGATGGTCTCGGTGCTACAGGTTAGATGATGGGCTAGAAAGAGGTTAGAGGAGTTAGGGGATGGTCAGAGGGGTTGTTCTGACTTGACCAGATGGGTCTGAGTAAGGTCTGCGGATTTTAGGTCATCTTCTGGATTTAGTGCGGCTCAATTAGTTGTCAGGATGAACCTCTGATGAGACAGTTCAGGTCACGATGTCGTGCGAATTTAAAATAAAAAATGGCGCTCTTTTGCACGGCGGAGATAGGGTGTATTATGACACGCCTGTGCTGAGTGCTGAGATGTCAAATGCAGATGGAGATTCCGGATAGATCTAGTTTAGCGATGACAATCAACTCGGCACAGACTCAGCTCTGACTAAATACGTGTCAAACAAAATCTATCACATAGAAACAACCAGTGGCAACATCGTAGCCTGGCAAAAATCGGACCAATCTGCCATTGTGCAATGACTGCTTATCTCACATAGCTACACGTTTTAGTCGCTTATTTGCATACCGCCCTTGTTGTGCCAACTTCATTTCGCCATGCTTGAACCAGAATTAGCTGCCAAACCATGAGGATTAACAACGATCCCGTCGTCAAACCTTTGGGCCCCAAACTTTAGACCACTACTTACGATACAGGCCCACCAGTGTTTCTCCATGCCCTGCGCCGCCCTGTCTGTGTCTGACTTCCTCCCCTCCGTTCCATTCAGCGTGTGGTGGCCAGTCTGCCGTCCGGCTCGCGCTCCCACGCCTTCCTCACCGTGGAGGGTACCCTGGTGAGCCTGTACTCAGGTCGTCACGTGGCCGAACTCTCCCCGGCGGCAGTACTCAGTCTGCTGGTACTGGTCCACGCCGTGTCACCGCGAGGAGGAGCCGCCGGCACAGGTCAGTGGGGGTCAGGGGAGGTCGGTGGGGGAGGCCACAGGTCAGCTGTGGAGCTCAGTGGGAGGCCACAGGGTCAGTGGGTTTCAGTGGAGGTCAGTGGGGAGAGTCTCAGGTCAGTTGAGAGTCACAGGGTCAGTGGGAGGTCACAGGTCAGCGAGAGGTCAGTGGGCAGAGGTTAGAGGTCAGGTCAAAACTCCCAGGGTCAATTATCAGAGATACGTCCGGACCACGTTAGTAGGCCAGGGGCCAAAGGTCAGTCCACTAGGGCGATCAATGTCAATGAACATCGCTGGAATTAGGCCAATGACCCGGTCACTGGAGCGGTCAGTGTGCCGGATTCTGTCTCTACGCCGTTCTACATACCAGCACCGTACCGCCGCTGATTACGTAACGTGACAATGCGGCTCGTTTTCCGTTCCCGGACAGGATATTGTCAGTCTCTGCGGGAATTAGTCAGTCACTGCCGGTCAGTGAACGCGGAGCAAATGTAAATAAATGGCGGGTCCGTTTACGTAGCTCGCTCGCTCACGCTGCGGTGTGATATGTAGCTATTTACCGGAATCTTATTATAGCCCTTCTAACTGCAGCGACTTGACTGCGCCAACCATATCTGAGCTCGACCGTGATTATAAAAGATTTGCAGTAATTGCGCTGAATTCAGAACCATTCAGCAGGTACCGTACGTACGACAAGGCCGTGCCTTTATAACAAAGCGTCCACTTGCTTTTCTGGCGATACCGCATTATGTACAACAGGACCATGCAGCAGTACCGTATCACAAGGCCGTGCCGTGTACCACAGGGTCGTATCACAGTACCTGCTACCCAGAACACTACTTCTTACCATACCCGTCTGACCCTCCTCTTTTCCGACCCCGCAGACTCGAGCGGTGACCCTGAGGTCAGCAGTGGCGGCGGGCCCGCCTCCGACCCGGACGGAGGGGGCGGAGGACGGGCCGACTCCCAGGTGCACGAGGAGCTGTGTTTCCTGTCTGCCAGCCGGTCACCCCTGTCACCGTACCTGGTGTACGTGGTCCACATCTGGTCGGGCACGGCACTGGTTATCGTCAGTGATGTGAGTTGGAAAGAGGTGGGGAGAGATGGGAGGGACGGGAAGAAGGTGGGTGGAGTGGAACGGGAGGTGCTGGTGGGAGAAAGAAGCGGGGAAAGAAGTTGATTGAAATAGTGTGATAAGAGGATGATATTTCTTGATCGTCAAGGAGAGGATGCGGCGGGATAGTAGGGAATCTACATTCCCTACTTTACGAATTCCACGAACTTCGTCTTTTAAAAATAACATTCATTATGAAAGACCCTGTAGGTAGTTGTTCTCAGTAGGGCTCATGTTGAGCTGATAAAAAGACGTCTCTCTGTAACTTTGTGGTGCCTGGCGAATCTTATCAGTGTCAAACTATCGAGCCGAGCTGCGTGCCGTGGTTTATAGATGGCATTGAACCATTCCGGTATAGTTAGCGCCGAATGGTGTCCTGATAATGTTTTTAGAACACCCAGCTGCCAATGTAACTATAGAATAGTTTTCCCTTAGCGAAAGAAGATGTTCGGTTTGTTTATCCCATCTGAGACTGGAATGCCATAACGCATCTCCGTTCCGAGATATGTTTGTGCAAACACCCCCCGGCTGCTGGGAAAGGATATACTCGTCTGATTGTTCTTATTGTGGCAGGGTTAGTCGAATTGCATGCTTTCCATTATCCTCACCACATTGCTGCATTCAATATAAGCCTCTCCGGTGGTTATTTTATCACCCACTTCCACGAAATCCACATAACCAAGCAATCCCTCGTTTTTTTACTGCCGCGACCCGCCAATCACCTCCCTCCCCCGCGGCGTTTTTTGCTGCCCGCTGCCTGTCTCTCCCTTTCTTCTCACAGACGTCTGTCCCCCCCCCACTGACCCCCCCCCCCTACCCCCTCTCCGTCAACAGCTGTGCATGACGGACGTATCTGGCGGCCTGTGTGAGGCCATCGAGAGCCTGGCGCGTTACCAGCAGGCGGTGACGCCGTTCCAGCGGGACCAGGTGTACGCCCACCTCAAACACGGGCTGATGGCGCTCTTCTCGTGTGCCAAACAGATCAGGCACTCGCCTGAGGTGGGTCGGACGCTGGGGAGGTCACTGAGGTCGCAGAGGGGGTTGGGTGGCACAGGGAGGGTCAGGGTGCGGGTTGGGAGACTCCCTTTCCAGTTGCGGGATGGTGTGTATTGTACACACGCGTCTTTGATCAACGAAGCTGCGCTATCTTCTAGGTAAGGTGGTGTATGGCAGGTACAACAAAGGCTACGACAATTTCTTGTTATCTAACGTAAATGGATACTGCTCAGTTGTTAGATGTCATAAATGACCTTGATAAAAGCCTGATGAGCAGAAGCGTTGGAAGAATATCTGGTGAATGTGATGTGGTACCCTCCCTGTCGCTGCCGGGCCATAGGAGAGACTGACAGTGTGACAGAGCAAAGGTTGACCATAGGATACCGTACAGATCGTCTCCAGAGGTCATTTACACGCGGGTCCAGGAATCGCACGCCTCTTCGTGTCCTTGGCGCCGGCTCTGGGAGTTAAATTTGGCATAGGAGAGGGTCTTGGTAAAATAAACTCGTCTGTGTCTTGTCTTGTCTCGACTGTCTGTGCCAATGTCGCTACCATTTTTATCCTATGTTTGCGTATACTTTACACAGAATAATCAGGACAGAGGTTAACAGTCGTCTGAATATTTGAAGTTTGATTTTCGCCTAAAGATGACGGATGACAGTTGGGTCTGTGCGTTAGTATCGATGTGAGGACCTTTACTCGCGCCTGGCGACAGCTCCGCGCGGCGACTCTTCAGATCGGATGCAGATGAGCTTCCGGAAGGCGTCGAATGTCATCCAATCCCTCTGTTTGCCTGGTCAAGTGTGAATGTTTATTCCGTGTCGCCTTACAAATGCAAATGCTCTAATTCTGCGTCCCGGCGGTAGTTTTGGTCGGAGCCGCCCGCCTACAGAAATTATCTGCGTGTGCCGTGTCTGCCGGGCGGGACCGCAGCCTCCTCTGGCCCGGGTGGGCGGCCGTGGCCAATGTGCCGGGTAATAGCACCGCGGGGAGCCCGGTCCCGGATGTTTTCCCGACCTATCCGGCCATTTGTTTCGCGTATCGTCCATCCCTGGACGTATGTATGCGGGCGCCGCGCCGACGCGGTGTGGCACCATCGCAAACATTCAATTTATCACGACCCCTGTGAACTCGAAGATATATCAATTCGAATTTAGCCTCGTTCTGAGACTTCTATTAGCATCACCGTACGAGGCGAAGGATACATTTTATGTATTTTATCTTGTGGGCGGACTCAACTGTCAAAAGTTACCGTGAGATCAGCTGTACTGTCTGTACTGTTTAGTCTGTACTGTTTAGTCTGTTTAGTCTGTCTCTTTAGTCTCTTTAGTCTGTTTTAGTCTGTACTGTTTAGTCTGACGAAGCTCCATTTGCTGACGTTTGCTACCGTAAATGGAACATGTGTACCTACATTTTGGGCAGTTTACGAAGGCATTTTCTTCATTAACATTCAACTGATGTGGGTGTGAATGGCCATTGTATAAGACTATTTCTTAGAATCCATATTTCATCAAGTCTTGTACTATCGTATTTGATCTTTGTGGAGAATGACGAAAACATTTGAATTATCAAAGTCCAGCAGGAAAGTTGCATATCTACAGTGTTTCCTTGCATCATTATTTCACAAGTTTGCTTCCCCTAGAGATCGATGAAATGTTTTGCTACACAAGGTCACTTCATGTCCCCTCTCCCCAGGTCCGCTCTCTGCTCTCCCGACTGCAGAGCCAGTGGGACCAGCTGCGCCGTCTCCGGGTGGACGCGGCGCTGTGCAGCGGCCGGCCCGTGCCGCCGCCCGTCGACCAGGGCCTGGCCACGCTCTCCCGTACACTGGAGGCCGCCTTCGAGGCCGTGTGTCACGTGCTGCCGGAGCGGGTCACCCTGCCGGCCGGCCAGCTGCTGCAGCGAGCCGAGACCGTGCAGCGCGAGCTCAGTGACTATCGGTGAGAGACGGGTGGTGGCACGGAGGGGATGAGGATGTTGATAACACCCCAAAAACGATTGTCCTTGATTTGACTTTTCGCTTTATGTGTGACGTGTTGTACATGTATATGTGATGTGTTGTATCGTAGGTACATAATACTTATCCTTGGGATCAGTACCGATATAGGTCATAATCGTTTCTGAGTGTCCCCACCTTCCTGCCACACCCCTTGTGACCGCCGCGCCGCCCGGTGTCTGTCCCCCGCAGGAGTTTCCTGCTGGCGCGCGCCGTCAGTAACGCCACGGTGGAGACACGCTCCCACCTCAACATCAGCCGCTACCTGGACAATTTTCCCGACCTCGTCCACTTTATCTACGTGGACCGCAGCGTACACCTGATGACGGCGCCCTCCACCCGGCCCCCCGACGGCCGACACGACCTCACCGACACGGTACGTGGCGGGAGAGCCCGGGGAAAGGTGCAGAACGGACGGGAGCCGAATCGGTAGTGTCGTCGATGAGTTTTTTTTCTCTCTTGTGCCTCGAGTTCCGCGTAAATGTTATGTTAAGTCTTGCTTGAGTTTGGAATGGACTTATTTTTGTATCGTGGCATATTGAAGCTGATGCTCTGCTGTTTGGTTTTCTGACCGTAAAGACGTTTGTCTCGCCATTTAGAGTAGTTCAGTACCCTCACTATTTTTACCTGTGTCTTCCTGTAGCACTTACATAACACTTGCCGGGCTGCCATTTGCCTATTTTCTTTTTCTCTTCTTATTGCATCTGCTCAAGGTCACAAGGTAATTAGTTGCAGAAGTTATTTAAAAACTTACCGGCGCTGACAGGCTGCATATATACCTCTTCTGACCTGACTTGATGGCTAAACTACGCATACTTTCCTTCTCAGTATCGGCAACGTCGCTCGGTGTCACTTCACACCTTGGTCCGTTCTTCAGTAGAGCTATTAACATGCGCGTGTGTGCTGGAAACGGTAACCGAACGGTAACCGAACCGGCTATTTGCAGCCTCTCATTACCATTGTCTGAACTCTGAACGGACGTGGACCACTGTCTGCCCAATGTCGACTGTCTGTCCTTTCGGGGCCATCCTGTCACCGTCTGTCCTACCATGTGTTGTTGACAGGTACGGAAAATGATTGACCTGGCGTACCAGTACCTGCGGGAGGGCCACATGAGCATCATATGGCGCGACCAGCGCTACAGCTACGGACACTTTCTCTGGTTCGAGGATGCCATGGTGCGTGTGACCCTCTAAATCTTTGCATGTCTGTAATTGCTGTTTTGTCAGTCGGTCAGAATGTTGCTGTGTTTTCGTGGGCGTCAACGGATTCTCTCATGTCTGATATCAACTTGCTTACCTTCACGATGGTTCATGCTGGTATGATCAGCGGTAGTATGACTATGCTGCATGTGGTCGCCCGTGCTTGTATTTCATAACGTAAAATCGGATATTGTTTCCCCTATTGTGAGTTTCCGTTGATGGCGGGCCACCTCAGTAGCTGCTGCTAACCGACTGTACCACCCAGCGCTCAATATATCCTGTGACTCCTCCCCACAGGGTAACCCTCAGAAGGCCCGGGAGAGTCCGCGCCGGCTGAAAGCGCTGTACGCTGACTGGCAGCCGGGCATCCTGGCGCGAGACTACTTCAGGTAAGGCGGTACGCGCGGAACCGACCGCCAACTTAAGTAGGGCTCTGTAGTCCAATCCTTTGCTTGCCCTAGTAGCTAGATACTAGCGCTCTTTATTTCCACTGTCCCGTCTAAATTTTTTTCCGACATGGAGTGGGGCCTCGAGTTACCCGGTCTCGCTCATCCAAGTGATCCAACCAGCTGGGTTAGGGTGCCTGGTAAGAAGTGGTTTCGAGCTCAGGAGTCGATTTGTTAAACCTTAATTCGGAATGGTTGACATTCAACAACGCAATTCCAGTTGCTAAGGAAGGACGGCACCACATGCGCTTACGTCTGGAACCGCCTTAACATAGCTGATTATGGAATCGACTTTCCAACTTTCTCCAGTTGTTCCAGACAGGCCTCATACCGAACTGATGCTGAACTGATGACTTAAAACACAGGCATCAAAGTTCCAACTGGAAAGTTATTGTTCCTCCTCACGTCACCTCCTCTCAAACTATACCGATTGGCGGGCCGCCTCGCGTCCCTCTTGATGCCCGACAGCCATCGGTTGTGGAGATAGCTCGTCAGACGGCAGTTATGTCGTGCTCGAGCCAGCACTTAAAGAGCTGGGGTATGAGATGGTGCCGCAACATGTGTCGGCCAAAAGTCAGATCGTCCTGTGGGATGAAGGCATACGGCGGGCGCTGGAGAAGTTTTCAGTTACATTTTATAGCATTGTTGATCAGGACTTCTTTGAGGTGATACTATAATTCAGTTGAAATATGAAAAGAAGTTATATGTAATCATTGCAGCATAGCAGCTCGAGCACCATTGTTCTAAAATTGGATTTTGGTTGGGTGTGACTATGTCGAGCACAGTGCCATCCACCTGTCTCGACCGTCCCGTGTTCTATATGTGTGTCTCCGTGTGTGCGCCTGCAGCGCACTGGTGGCCGCCTGTGTGTCTGTACTCAGTGTCTCTGTGCCCGTGCAGCGCGCTGGTGGCCGTCTGTTTCCCGGAGGCGGCGCCCGAGGAGGTGCGCTGCTACCAGCTGTTCCTGGTTCACCGCGGACCCGTCCAGTCGGACCGCGTGCTCCAGCAGTCGCAGCAGATCGCCAAAACCGTCTGGGAGGTGTCTGGAGCCGCCGCCACGCCGCTCGATCTGCTATAGACACGCTGCTACACAGCTAGATATCTACTAGAGACGCACCTTCCCCGGTAGATCTTCGCTAGAGCCGCAGCTACACAGCTAGATCTGTTCTAGAACCGCCGCCACGCCGCTCGACCTGCTCTAGAGACGCTGTTACACAGCTAGATCTTCGCTAGAGCCGCAGCTACACAGCTAGATCTTCGCTAGGGACGTCGCTGCTCCGCTAGATACCTGCTGTGGGGCTACTTACAGGGATACACCGCTGGATAGCTGTTCTGAAGACATCGTCGCGAAGGTGGATGTCTGTAAGGGACGTCGCACTCCGCTTGTCCCGTTCAAGGGGCGTCATTGTGTCACTAGATCCTCTCCAGGGACGGTGCTTGGTTTTGTGTAGAGGCACTGCGTCGTCTTCATAATCGCCTGATGTTATGTGTGTTTTAGTTTATTGTCGGAGGGCTATTTTAAGCAGGCCTGCTGTGTGGCTCCTGTCCTCCAGACGTCCAGGCTGGGACTTCTCCGGAACTGTCGCCAGCTGGTTGCGGTCCCGTCCCTTATCTGTCCTTTGTTGCCATGTCTCCTGTCCCTACTCTCTCCCCCTCTCTCCTCTCTCCTCTGCCCGGTCGCCGACCCGACCTCCTCGGTTCCGTCCGCGGTTCGTTCAGATCACCAGTCAGCCTTCTGAGCCGACTGAGCCGGCGGCCGAGCCGCCGCGGCTGGTTGGACTATTTTTGACGTCATTATAGCTTTCCTGTAACGGCAATTATGGCATTCCGTGGATAGTTAGAGTATATAAGAATAATTTATACAATTACAGTGTTCTTGTAAATGCTCTCGATCATTTCCTAGATACAATTGTAGGCTGCAATTGGCGATCGGGAATATTATTAGATGCATATGGCACGCGAAATTACATTATTTGTAACTGGGTGCTCCTTACAGTATATTTATATTGCTATCATTACGATCATCCCACCCAACATGTGCTGTGAGTTACTTGATGCTAAATGTCAATCGCCTTCGTTTTCTCGGGAGGCCACAGTTGTGAAGCTTTGCGGGACCAAACGTCATTTACAAGCGGCTGCATGCCTTGTGCCATGTCGTCCTTTTTATATTCGATCGATGAAGGTTCCCTTGGAGCCCCGCGTGGTGCTCTACCCACACCCAATCACTGCTGTACGAATCAGCCTGATCCTGAGTACGTCTGCCTGAGTCTGCGGTCGTATATGCGTGATTGGTTCGACAGTGCCTGTTGTTGCTAGCTCTACTGTAATACACCCCAGGGTACCGACGGTGGGGTCATATCGAGCGTTAACTAAGCTCACCACCGCTGTATTACGGCGTAAGAAAGGCGGATGCGTATGAGAGCCTTGTGAATTTCCCCGGGGCCAGCGCCGTTGGGGAAATGCTCGGCCCACGTGGACTGTGGTACCTACGTGGTGGTATGTTTGTGTTTTCTATTGAGAGACGGCGTGATTGCTCTTGTCACGTCGCGTCTCGTCGCCCTCCACCCGGCCGAAATCTGCTGTGTGTTGAGGAATGGACTTAGGGAAATGGCCTCCGCGGTGATTCCTAGAGCGTGTGACGGTGTGATGATGTGCACTCATATAAATACGTGGAGAGATTGAGATTACATTTATCGCAGCGATGAATTACGTCAAGTGTGCCCCCTGATGTACGTCGTGCTATTTTTAGTCCCATTTGCCTGTGATGAGAGTGGATGCCTCAGAAATGCGCAGTAATGGTGAAGGTATTCTGGGATTACGAGTTGGAGGAAATGTATCAATCAAAAGTAGATCAGCGAAGTCATTAATGTGTGGTTGCATTGATGGATAAATGGGTTCATTTTGTGCCATTCCATTATGCAAACGGGTGGTGTGATTTTGAAGTACACATAAAGAGTCGACAATAATCGAAAAATAAACGTAATTATATCCTATTTTGTATTTACGCATGTTGGTTTTAGTGCTAGCGAGAACGCTGTTTTTGAAATGCCAGCCCCCCTCTTTGGAATGCCAGTTACCTCAACTGATGTTTCGCATCATTGACATCCTCCCTCCTTTCTCGCTGCAATGACCCCATTTAGCACGACAGTCTGTTCCACACACCACGCACTCCTATCGCTCCGCTGACCTGTACCGACCCAGCACCGCCCATCCCACCTCCGTGCCACCCCCGCGCCACGCGCCGACCAGCAGACGGAGCCTCCTCGCGTCCCGGACACGACATTCACAGACGTCAGAGGCGCGCGGCGCGAGTTTTTGTCGCTTCTGATCAACACGTGCCGGCCGGACGGAGCGGGGCGAGCGCTGACGTGAAGCAGGGCGGTGTGCACTGGACAGGTCACGGCGTGGTGTGCTGGAAACAGCGCGGTGGATACGTGCTGATGATATATGGCCGGGTGTAGTAGTAAAATTGACATGCCAATGAGGTTGCATAATGGACATGTCTATGAAGGTTTATCATGGGAGCGGTCGCTGATGGGTTAGCTGTACAGGGTGGAAAGTAATTACGCGAACATGTATTTTCTTACAATTTTGACCATCAGTGGAGCATTTTTATGAGTACGGGCTGTCATGGAACATAATTGGTCGTGTTTGCTGTCGCCTCATCTACCAAAAGTGACCTAACTTTGAACAATGACCTGGAAGGTCTTAAACACCTCTCGACTTAAAATGGTGCAGACACCTTACGCTGCACAAGACCGAAATGGGCCAAGAGCTCAATTTGGAGCTGCCAGGGAAAGCGTTTGTGATTATTTTCGCTGGACTGGCGGAGAAGGGATTCGTAGAAGTCTCAGCACCAGCATTGCACAATTATACGTTTTTTTTAACATAATAACACTTGAGAGGACTTAAAAAGCAAAGCCGTCCGCGGCAGCAACCCCTCGGCGAATTCTGTCGCCGGGCGGGTGGTCACCATGTCGGCGACAAAACGACGCCAGTCGACCCGAAAACTGGCAAAATAGCTTACTCTGGCCGGGTACCCGATCTAGGATATCACGATTCGCACATTAATACGCAAAAAATTCGAAAATTAAGTCGTACAAACCCTCGGGATGACCAAAATTCACGAATTAACAGCAGAATTGTTAATTGAAGCTTTTCAAAGACAATCAAAGATGGACAGAGGAGGACAGGCAGCTGGATTTGTGGTTGGGTGAGACATCTGTGAAACTGTTTCATCCGTCAAACCTGCAGAACAACTGCTCTGAGGGCTGCTGTTGCGTCCTATGTCCCGTCCGTCCCAACCTTCAAACATCCGGCAAAGGAACACATCAGTGGGTCACGAGCCCCCGGGTGGTGTCCGAATTGCGTGTAGCGCTAAAAAAGGTCACTAAAAATAAAGTAAACAACCGGTGGAACATCCTCCAAGACGAGTGTCTCTGTCTAATCCACCGTGCAACGAAAGGGGCAAAATGACTGAGCGCACTTTTGTGCCTGACGCAAAGAAACTGCTCTTCGTGATTGGTGAAATCCTTACTTTCACGGCCAACAAAACGCAATACTGGTGCTGTGAGGACCTGTTTTTCTTCAGGACATACAAAAGCTGATCTGGGAAACGCCTGGGCCTCAATTCGATTAAAAATCTCCAGATGACTCCTCAGGAGACCGTCTAAAAGCTGCAAGGAGCCACCAATACCGATTACCTCACTGGACAGCTCCATAAGGTGTGGGCTGAGCTTTGGCCAACAGATCTTCACATGCTGATGTAAATCATGCCGGAACGCCTATGTCAATGCATCGCAACTAGATAAGGATAAAGTAAAACATATATTGTTTATGTCACCGCCGTTTTTTTCATTACTAGAAGACGAAAAAGTATGTTCGCGTAATTACTTTCCACCCTGTAGGTAGTTTGAAGGGTCTGATGGGAGGTCACTATTTTACAGTGTATCCGGGGATCCCCTTGGCATGCCCTGTATTACTACCCTGCCTCTCATGTAACGGTCATGGGTCACCTCGTCGTAATGTAACTCCATATATGTGGGTTTCTCGGTGCGTGTTAATATCCGCGCCTCCATGTAACTCGTGTGTTTTCCATGGGTGTGGAGACGCTCAGGAGGCCGGCGCGGTGACAGCAGCAGTTGCCAGTTACTGGCTGTCCAGGTGGCTTATCTTTCGTTCGCTGAACGGTCATGGAACGCCACCGATGTGTTGTTCGCTGGCGGATATGGGGATCGAGGGTGAATACCCACATCGTCTTAAGTTGTCCGAAGACAACTATTGGTAATCCAGTGGCGCATAGACCATTGGGAGCATCAGTCAATGAAGTGTGATTTTTGCGACCCCTTTCAGGCCTCCAGTCGCATTCGTTTTCTCGTAATCGCGCAGTGCGGTGACGAAGGGTCGCTCAGCGTATCCGTTGTTACACATGCCTCCAGTCGCATTCGTTTTATCGTAATCGCGCAGTACGGTGACGAAGGGTCGCTCAGCGTATCTGTTGTTAGTTGTTACACATGCTAATTTCGACTGTCACATGTGTGCGTTATTTGTGGCACTGTATAAGCGTCATTATTCGGTTATCGCCTCGCGTAATGTCGTTTGCCTCTCAGTCTTAACGGCGCTGTCGAAGTCAATTTTGGGGCGAGTTTCAGATTACTGTTGCCTAAAACCCTGAATGTGACTCCTCAGCGAGGTGCCTCCCGAAAGGATGTGGACTAATGAGCAATTTATTAGCTTCTTCAGCAGGACGGTGCGGATTACTGTTTCACGTTCTCTGCCGAAACCATTTACTGGGCTTTTACCACAGGGGAGCAATGCCGCTTCAACCCTATTGGCCGTAGTGTCTAACGGTGGCGGCCATATTGCGCAGACCAGAAACCGGCTGCCGCCTGTGTTGAGGAATAGGGAATTCGGGACCTCGATTTACGTTTGCGGCCGCCGTATCCGTTACGTTCAAGTTACGTAGATACGGAACCCGGCATCTTACGCAGAATTGAGTGGGGAACACGATCGTATCTTCAGAATTCCTCAAATTCACTCGCCTGACCTACATTTGCCCCGGCCGAGGGGGTTGGTTGAACCCACCTCGCTAATGCACCGCTAATTAACCCGGGAGTTGCTGGGGTATATCGCCACCCACCGTTTGCTGGGGGGGGGCGTTAAACGCCCCCAGCCGATAACTCGAGAACCAATAGGCGCAGCGAAACGCACGAGGCGGCAAACGAAAGATCGCGACGAGACGCTTCAGATGAGTACTTTAAAGTTGAATTTTGAGGTCACAGGTCGGGTCAAGGTCAGGTCAAACACCTGAAATCGGGCTTTCAGTAGCATGGACTTCAGGACTTCGCAATGGGCGCCTCTCGTCATAAAATCTGCCAAGACGGTGCGCAATCCATCAAATAAGGCCTACAAGAGTGTCAGCTCCATGTAGGGGTCAGTCATGCATAGGTCAAGGTCAAGGTCAGGTCAACCGGGTAGGCACATATCCCCGAAAATCAAAACTGATATTCGCAGCCTGTGACACATGTTTTATGGGTAATTTAGAGCGTAGAACACGATGGTCACATTCATTTTATCATATGTGTACGTGTTTGGCTAAAAAAGTTAAATTTAAGAAATGCATTTATCATGGTCGTGAAGTAGTCACGAGAAATTGCCAAGATTCAGTTCAAGATTTTAGAAAATTCGGAACGATAATCAATAATCGAAGATAGCCATTTGATTGTTCGTGGTATTGGCAGTCTAATGGCGTTTACGCCATGTCTGTATGTCTATTCTGTGATTTTATATGATTTTTTGAACATATGCCGTTTTTGGTCGAAAACTCAGAAATCATGACGTCACTAAAACCTCGATATCTCAAAAATTTTCCGACCGATTTTTTTGAAACTTTGTCACAATACACTTCAATCAATTCCCTTCAGGTACCCGAAATTTGGCGCGCCTGCGGCGCGCCGTTTTTATGCTATGACCCGGCGAAAAAAGTGGGGGCGTTTAACGCCCCCCCCCAGCAACTCGCGGGTTAAACTAGAATTAAGCGGTAAAGTGGTCGTATGCGGCAAAGTATAATGCAGAGTGACTGGTAGGAACCCGCTGTAAGGGTCTCAGGTCAACCGGTGACCTCTGAGGTCAGGTCAAGTGATCTAAGGCACGGGTTCGGTTTTTGGTAAATAACTTCGCCAAAAATGGCCGTAGAGCCGCGATTTTGATATCATCGTGTTCAGCTAGCTCAGGCGCATCGAGTGATATACTTTTTGTTCGGGTCAGGTCAACTTAGGGTATTGACCTCAGGTCAAGGTCAGGTCAGCACCCCCAGGTCACGAAGCTGGTCGAAAGAGGTCATGTCGCATATCATTCGATTCGGCAGGTCTTCCTGAGTCCATTGGTGGCTTTCCCGACTCGCTAGCTCAATTTGATCGGGAGTTATTGAAGAAAAATGGTGACCCTTGTGACGTCACGAATGACGTCACGCAAGGGCAACAATGCAAATATGAAGCATAGGACCTTGCAAAGAGTGCATGAAATCATGATTTTATATGCTTGAGATAGTTTCAGATCATTCTCGGCGCCAAAATAACAATTTTCATATTTCCCCATTGACTTATAAGGGTTTAACGTATTAGTTCCTTATAGCTGATGATTTTTTTTTAGGATTTCATCTTGTTCTCCACTCAATTCTGCGTAAGATGCCGGGTTCCGTGTCCACATAGCTTGAGCGTAGCGGATGCAGCGACCGCAAACGTAAATCGAGGTCCCGAATTCCCTATTCCCCAGCACAGGCGGCGGCCGCTTTCTGGTCTGCGCAACATGGCGGCACCGTTGGACACCATTTGGCGGCCGATGCGCATTCCACATTATAGAGTTCAGTGGCTTTTACAGAGTTTCATTTGCTGGCTGCTTTTCAGGGAATGCTCTGAACGCCGAGGACCTCTGTATTCCGGGTGACCAAAATCCCAGCTCATCACACAATGCGTCGATAATATATAATATATTCATATTTGTACCATAAACCGTAGCATAATCGATTACATTTGAATCACCTTGATACAAGGCGGACATGCTAGAGCCCGGTTCATATGTGACCGACACTGCGTGATTGTTGCAGTCATCTGCGAGAGGTGCGGCGGCGTTCTGCCGAGGTGGGTTCACAGCTGACCGCTCCCGAACTACGGCTGTCCATCACAGTTTGTCACCGATCGTCGCCGTCCGTCACGGTTCGTCACTTTTCGTTACGGCTTCCGTGACTCGGTGTTGGGAAGTGGGCGATTTTTTTTGCCTTCCGTGGTGATAGCTTGACGTTACAGTGAGTCTCCTCGACCGCGCAGTCGCCCTAACACCGGACTAGTCTTGCCATTCAAGCTCGTCTAGTTGAGCTTTGCCAGATGAGCTTCGCCAGTCGTTCACGGCGGCGATGGAGGGCCACCGGCTCATCTTAGCGCTCTAAGAACGCTCAGATGTAAGCATTGCAAGAACCCAGCGTCGCCGATCGGCTTTCTAAAGCTTCTCTGTGCGCTCAGTACATGTGCATGTTCCTGAAGTTGTCCTTATTCTTGAACACCGGCCCCCAGGAGCCGTTGTCTTTGCCCTTCGAATCCTTCTGCTGGCTTTTGATCGCCGGAGCCGGAGCAGGCTTCCTGTGAACGAGCAAAGAGACATGTCGTTAATTACTCTCACAGGCGAAAGCGGATGCTTCAACGAATCCCCCACAGATGTCCGTTTATGTCCGTTTAAAGCAATTATCCAATTCATTTTTCATCCAAACCAATCAAAGCTATTGCAACTTTCACCTATCTATGAACTAAAACGGGAGGCTCTCGCTCGTTCTGTACGATGATGGAGGATGTCCTATATATAGCCGGCTATCTCTGCCTGGCAGCCTGTTCCCAGATGGCCGGATTCGACACAGGTCAGTACTCACTTGACGGGCATGGAAGCCATCAGACCGCCGTTGGCGGCGGCCGGGGCGGCGAACTTGGGTCCGTTGCTGTGGCCCATGGTGGTGCTGGGGTGACTCAGGCGGCTCGCTGTCTCACAGATGTCTCACTGCTGTCTCACCGCTGCCTCACTGCTGCCTCGCTGCTGCCTCGCTGGAGTGACCGGTGGTCGCGGAGAGCCTCCGATGTGAAGTGTACAATGACGAGAGAATTCACAAATTTATCTAACTCGGGCTATCTGTAAAGCAGAGGAAAGGAAAAAGTTAGCTGTGCTGCAAAGGAAACCCGGTTTCCACTTGCAAAGCAGGCACAAGCGTGGCGTATCATTCATCAGCTAATTGAAGTGAGACGAGTCGCTATATTTGGCACTGCTTTCCCCGGTGCTCCAGTTTACAGCGGCCCTCCGTCTGGCCTAGTTATTGTGAAACCCGTGTGCGGCTCGGGGCCAGGTCACCGCGCAAGGGACAGAGCGGCGCCCGGTGCGAGTGCAGGAGAGAGGGGAGGGGGAACTCACCGATCTCACGGTACTCGGTGGACCAGGGTAAGCACCTCCCTCTCGAGCTTGTTACCGCAGTTGGCCTGTCGGCTGCCCTTGCTGCTGGAGATGCTTCCGAGCCTGCCGGACGAGGGGAGAGAGGTCAGAGCGGGGTCATCGGGTACGACATGGGGTGACTGGGACTATGGGCTGCAGTCTTGGGGATAAGAGAAATGCATGGGTAGTAATAGACACAATCCATCGTTGACATGTTTTCACCACTCAATCAGCGTACCGTTTGATTGAATATGATAATAGCACTGTTCATTGCAAGAGCTTTTTACAGGGAGCGGTAGTAGTAGAACTCAACTGGGAACGGTAGCAATGCATCACAACGTTTCATAATCACACGATTTAAAATGTACTTACGCGAGATCGAGCCGCGGAGCCCAGATTTGCCTTCTGGACATTCAAACGGAGCGGTGTCACACGGGGAAGACGTCTGTTCCTCGAGAGTCGCGTGCGTCTGTTGGGCCCGCCCCGCCGCCGGCCCGCTTATAAAGACTGCCCTCTCCGGCCGGTTCACGTGCTACGCTCGCGAGCGGTGACGAGGTGCAAACGCACACCGTCTCGCGCGGCCCGCGCGGCGCGGCGGGGCTTCCTCCGCCCTCCGGATCTGAGTCTATCAGAGTACACGGTGCCCCACGGTAAGCCGTGATACCCCTGCAGTCACGGGCGGCGGTCTGGTGACCCGCCGAGGTCAGTGTCCCACCCGGTGGTGGGTCACGGTTGGCACCTCTCCGCCGTGATCATGCGAACGTCGAGCGGGGACGCGTGATCAGGCACACAGCTCCAGAGCCTCACCGGGACCGGTTTGAGAGGGAGGCAGCATCCCGGCAGGGCCTCACGGTTCACGCCGGCCGGGGTACGGTCTAACGGAGGCCCGGCGCCCAGCAGTATAACCCTTCCCTCTTCCGTAATAAGACGCTGCAGTTGACCTGCAAGGCTTCCGGGTTTACGGCTGGGCATGTTGAGTTGTCAGAGGTCCCTTGTAGCGCCTGTTGAGGCATTGAAACCCGTCGCTTGAAGCTTAGCCACGGAGGCTAATGCCTACTACGAAGAAATTTCAGTCCTCATGTGTATGCAGGAGGGTACTGACCCACGACCCACGCTGTTTACACGTGACTCCGTTTTTGCTTGCGGTGAAACTATTGAAACGAGGTGTTTGTTTCCTGCGCGGTTTGCGGTATGTGTTTGTGTGTGATAAGATCTGTCTGATCTGACCGGTTCAGAGCCTCTGCGACCGGCGGGCAGCGGTGGCGGCTCCCGAGGGGCTCCTGACGCAGGCGGGAGCGGTCAGCGACATGCGGGCCATCGGTGATGGGGACCAGAACTGGGGAACAAAAACTGGCGGTGCCGGGACCCCACAGCGGTGAATCTGCTGTATCGAGTACGAAGGAAGCCATTCTGCGAGGTCCGGACGGTTGGACAGATTATTAGCGAGACGGTTAGGTGGTTTAGGTAACCGCAGGCTGTTTGAAATAGACAAACACTATTCGTACTGTGGTTAGAAACACTAGTCGAGTGGTTTGTTGCATTCATTGTTTCCATATCGAACGGGATGCAAGAGAGCGATGCACTTGTATTTTCTACCAACCGGTCATCAGAAGTTTGGTGCAGCCAACCTTTATCGAATTTTATCGCATTCGATATTGTTTATCGTAGTGATCTCGGGCGTGGCCCACATTTCATTCAGGTTGGCCTCAAGTGCAGCATTTTGCTTCCCGATCCTTGTGATTACCACTGCCCAGACGTTCAGGGTCAGTCGTCGATCGTTTTTCTCAGGCGTCTCAGTGGTGACCGCCGACAGACGAGACTCGCCGACCCTCTCTCTCTCTCTCTCTCTCTCTCTCTCTCTCTCTCTCTCTCTCTCTCTCTCTCTCTCTCTCTCTCTCTCTCTCTCTCTCTCTCTCTCTCTCTCTCTCTCTCTCTCTCTCTCTCTCTCTCTCTCTCTCTCTCTCTTTCCCTTTTTTTCGACTTTGCCCAATCATATTAATTAAGGGTCCTCAACCATGCTATTTTTATCTCAGCGAACTCCTTTCGAAGGTCGAGGGGTTCCTCGACCTTTCTATTTATAGCTCGGCGACGTTTGATGTTTTTTTCAGCTACGAATATAGGTGGTTATTAATTCGAAATCGAACCTCCGATCGGGTTGTTATGAGGAGACATCGTTATTTTATTTTTATTTTTGTCATCGGTATGTCATTTGCCTTTCAGGCTGACTCATTACTTTTCTCCCCAGAGCCAAGCTTCATGCGCTACTGGTCGGTAAAGTCGTATCGATCCATGCGTGCGTGTCCATGAATATGCGTGCTCGATTGCACGATATATGTCGTATAGGGTTCCCAAGCTGGTGCAGTCTGTAGGCCTCGTGTTTCCGTGATACGTAGATTTATTACAAATTTTCTGACTCGCTTGCTCCACTTTCAAAGGTGGGTATGTATTTCAGGATAACTACTGCGTGCTACTGCGCATCTCGATGCACGTGTTTACGTTCGTTACAGCTGTATACATATTCGGCGCTATTTATGCACATTCGTCGGGCGCATATAACTCAAATAACAAGCGACATGCGTTCTCGCATCTGGGAGCGTGCTCCGAATATCAAGTGACCGCCGTCGATGGAGCGACTGAACCGACTGACCGCAGCCGAGAGCTCAGCCAACCAGGGACCGAGACACACGGACGCGGAATTATTCACAGGTTGATGAGTGATGAGTTGAATAAAACGTAAATGATCAGCATATTTTGATTTTGGGTAACTAATTTATAAGCAGTGCACGCCAAAACAAACTGAAAATTTCCAGAAGGAAAGAATGAAATAATTTCCGCGACATGGGGAGCCAGCCGCTGCATTGCGTGAGCTCGCTCCGGCGTTTTACCCTGCGAAACACCGCAGCAGTCAGCACAGACGTGCGTGGTCGACAATATTATCGACTATATATCAGTGACAATTGATGGACAAACACTGTTAGCAGCTGATCGAGAAATACTGCTCGTGTATGTGATTATGACCTTGGTTGGTTCTTGGGCACTTTCACTTCGGGGTCATAGTATTTTTGGATCCTTTTCGTTGCATGAGGCACGCTATTTTGGTCACCTTCGCCATTTATTTTTATCTGCCACGTGTATTTATCCACTTAAACTCTTTTCCCAATGCCGTGACCGATCCAAAGGTATTACGGAAATTTTGGCTTCGTAGGAGTGAACAAACAATAAGTTCGAAATTCAGATGTTCGAAGCTCAAAACGGGCTCTGATTTCAAGGACATCTCAAAATAGAATCCGAATGACATCAGTACCTATTCTCAGTAACGCATGTCATGCACTGCATATGTTATGTACGCATTTGTGGTCAGAGACGTCGTTCTTTGTCAAGAAACCTCTTGCATCAGCCAACCTCATTCTGTCCGTTTCGCTCTTCTGGTTTATTCCGGCTGACCGCAGCCTTTTAGAGCCATGGACGCAGCGTATTCATGTTTCTCGGATTCGTGCAGTGACGTCTGACTTCCCCCGTGCGAAGCATGCCACACGGTCTCGGTTACCTATACCGGTGCCCGGCGGGCGGCTGGGGCCGGCCCGTACCGCACCACACCGGAGTATTGCGGCGCAGTATGCCAGGCCGGCGCGGAGACTGCGGCGCCGAGTGGGGCGCTAACACCGGCATTGTCACCGGGCTGAGAGAGTGCGCTGTTCGGCCGCCGTTTTCGTCAGCACGCTGCCGGTTCTGCCGTATATGAAAGTTAACTGCTGGCGTGTCGTGGCGCCTTATTATTGAACGGCACGGACTTCGTAAATTTCATAAAGAGAGACGAGAACACGGGCGTCGCTTTCCGAAAATTATTGATAGGGCTCTAATGGTTAACTTTACGATACCAAAGCTATTCTTACCATGCAGCGCCATAGGGTTATTGTAAAAAAAATATGAAATTATTATGCCGCAGGAGATGATGGAGGGTTGAAGGGTGAAGACCAAATCGAAACGGTTTATTTCGCCGTTATTAGACAATTAAACTGCATCATCAGATATTTGATGGGACTCCAGTCCAGTCATCGATGAAAATATGCCGCTGGACTCGGAAAATAGTTTTGCGCCACATGTATACAAATCCTTCCAGCCATATATCGCCCACATGCAAATGATGGATGGCATATAAGTTGAGGACTTTCGTGCATCGCAGCTAGGGCACATTCGTCTGAAATGCTGTTCTGCGCTACCCAGGCGGCCAGTCTCTGCCTCAACTCTCAGACTCAGGCCTCGGACTTACACTAAATTCACAATTTATCGCTCAGGTCAAGTACTGCCCTACATAGACACCACTCTGCTATTCGGTGTATTGGCGTGCTGGCTCGTCTCCCGTCCGTTGCTGCACACCGTTGCATCATGTCCGGCGGCCGTTCCGTCTTGCTCCGCTTATTACCGAGGTCGTGTGTCACCCTCTCCCCTCCCCCAACCGTGTCCTGAATCAGAGTGTCTCTGTGTCAGTGCACTTGTCCTGGGTCGCGGCAATGAGTAGTAACCAGCTGCGGGTTGCCTGGCATGCCGACGACTGATGTGGCACCTCCGCCGTCGTCGTTGGCGGCGGCGGCGGCGGCAGGGTCGCCGGCAGCCGTGCGGTGTCGAGCTGTCTACAGAGAGCCGCCGCCGCCGCCGGCCGTGGGCTCGCCGGCCCTGCCAGTCTTCCCGGCTATCGGCTGATCGCGGGCACGGCGCGGCGGGAGGCCCGGCGCGTCCTCAGGGCCAGACAGCGGCCTGATGAAACCCTGACGTAAGGCTGACGCAAACCACGCCCCCTGCAACGTCACGGCTCCGCCCACCAATCGGCGGCGGGGCGTGTTTTCTGTCAGCCGGGCGGCGGCCCATTCAGAGGAGGGCCGCGCAGCGCGTTTGGACACCCGAAACTGACCCGGCCCGGCCGGTATGTAGATCACTTCACTCTGCGTGACGTCAAAAGAAACGGCCGCCCGCCCGAGACACGCGACCGAGGCGGACCAAAACACGGTGACGTCAAACGGGACCCTAGGTGCTGCAAGTTTTTGGCACGTGCAATCAGGAGGAAGTGTTGAAGAGAGGGTTCCTGTTTTGTATGTACCCCATGACCTATGGTAGGGCCGCTAAACATGCGCGGGACGCTCGCATAAATATTAAACGGGCCGCGCTCATGGCCGCGTGGTCATATACAATAACACTGAAGCTGTGCGACCTTGATGTTGAACTTTGAGTGCTATTTTTTTTCCGACAATGTTGGGATGTTTCCGACGCTCAGACTTCATGACGCTGCTTTCTTGAAGCGTGACGTTCGTTTCTTCGTTCTTCTCTTCCATTCACAGTTCTGTGAAACTTCTACATAGTTGCATAGATCTGACGTAGAATGTTGCATGTCCCTGAATGTTGCAGTTAGAATGTTTGGCTGCATGTTAGAAGTAAGAAATGTTTGGTTAGAAGGTCGCAGACACGGATGTGTCGCCTCGGCTGGCCCCGTAGGGTCTGTGGGCTGCTGCTGCTGAGTCTCGTAAGTCTCCCGGCCATGGGCTCGGGGATGCCGTGGTCTGGCCGTGCTCACATTATGGCCCCGGTCCGGCGGACGCGGGTCACCCTCCGGCCTCCGGTCAGTGCAGGTCGCTCACCGGCTGATGAAACCGCTGCACCGGACCGAGGTCAGCAGCCGTCTATGGGCAGTAAGGCCGACTAGCCACTGCAGCAGGGCTGTGCAGTGTGGGGAAGGGCTCTGCACTGGGACGGACCAAAGCGGACTGTGCGGTGGGGACGGGCCTTTAGTATCTGTCGAAAGTTCATTGGAAGAACAGTGGGGAGTGACGTCCATAATAAGGGGCTATGTATCTAGCGTGGACTGTTTCCATGAAGTTGAACGGGTGGAACTAGCTAATTGAACTGACAGTGAGATGCCCAATTTTCGAGATACCGATGACGTCTATACAACAGGCATTGGATTGTTGGCTATCAAAAATTTTGGCATGTTTTTATGATGGAGATTGACCATGGCGGGCTGGTAATATGAAAGGTGTGTTCGCTGGGCGACCTGCACTGTTCAGATTTCAGTCAGGCGTGTATTATACTTCCGACAACTGTATTGCTGTTGAACGTCGGTACGATGTGGTGCCACTGATGTCAGTACTGAGTGATGTCACTGATATCAGTGTTTCTTCACTGTCAGTTATCTGTCATCGTAATGTGAGGGCGCCTGCAAAAAGTAAATAACTAACAACCATCGGTTCCGCCGCTTTACCCATGAGTTATGCTAGAACTGTTGAATGTGTTCGGTTGCAGGCACGCCGCTTTACCCATGAGTTATGCTAGAACTGTTGAATGTGATCGGCTGCAGGCAATTGCAGTGATTCGTCAACTGTCCTTCATAAAGCGATGACGCTCTGCATCTACAGTAGCTAGTTAACATTAAACAGCAGGTTGAATTGAATGCCACCCCATCGTAAGTACGTCATACATCTGATAAAGATGCTTCGTCCCACTTTCCTGGGGACCCAAAAATAAGAAACCAAGAGAACACGTCTAGTTTCGCATCGTGTATTATGGAGACAACGAAACAGCGAATCGACATGAGAAGCAACGCAATGCTAGCGTGGTTTCACGTCGTTAGTTAAACGATACAGCCATTTGTAATGCCTGTTTACAGAGCGTTACATAACGACTGTTTAACATGGCCCCCGTCTCAAGGACTAACATTACAATGACAATCTAGGAACATTCATGTAAACGTAAGTAGCAAAAAAAACGGTTGTGAACAGTGGAGTTTTCAGGATGGCAAACAAAAGACGTGAGGCTGCGGTCACCAATAGATGTAATTTAAATAATCAATAGATATAATTAGCTACAATAGGTACCTATGTGCGTGAACTTTAGATTTTATAGATTATTTATTTACATTTTTAGATGACTTGTCAGAATGTGAGAGCACTCTATTGATTGGATGAATTCTTCAAACGAGGTTTTCTCTTCCTACTTTTTGTGTGCTTTAAACATTCTTGTAACCTGCAACATTATCTTTTGCCGCCGAAATTTAGAGATTTGTATTTGTGAGAAGGAAACCCTGAGTTGATCAGGGTTCGGGCAACTTTCAAAAATATTTTGTTTATTTTTGATAAATTAAGAAAGCTTCCAGATTGCGATATCACAGTTCCTGTTACTTTCTACCCACTATACAGCTCAACTAATAGTTATTCCTTTAAACTATTCTACTTCATTCACCTTAAAAATAGGTAATAATAAATAGGTACAAAAATGATAGGATGAAAGGATGATAACTCAATGGTAAGTGCGTTAGTACATAGGCTCGCAAGTTTCCCTGTTTGATAGGTGGTGAGCGAGTCAGAAATGGAAGGACTGGGCACATCAATTCCACCCGTATTCGGTCGGCCGTATAGCTGAACGTTTCAGCGACATTCGGTTTTCACATCGCAAAATTACAAAGAAAAGGGTGTTCTGACAGCACATGATGAGCAGAACCAATCATAGCTCGCTTGTGAGATATCCATCTAGCAACACGTAACAGCTGGCTGCCGTAGCCATATCGCTGCACTGGTCTTCGACATCACATAAATGCGCCTCGAGACGTGACGGTACACCCGGCTTCCGTCTCAGCGCCAGATGGGAAGCTCACATGATAGAGAGATTCAGTGACCAAAAGAGCAAACGTACTCCACACGATGGCCTCAGTCCGAGTAATATGTACACAACATGAAGAAAAAGACATTCGATAAAAAAGTTAGACACATTATGCGCTCCACAGTCACGGCTTTGCCACCCTTGTGTTCCGACGGGCTCAGCGGCCAGCCTGCAGCGCCCTGGCCGGCGGACTTTCAGGAAGCTGACATTCGTGCTTCTGGCGATAGGTGGCAGTACCGTCGTAACAGTCTTGATCGTTGGTGGACCCTTTTGATCAGTTTTCCGGCTGAAAGGAAATAGAATTTCGGTAAGCTAACGAAACTCATCATTGCTGATCTCGGCAATTCGATTTTGGACGCTCCACGGTCGCCGCGACGTCTTACATCCGCCACTCGGTCGGCTCCGCTCAGCGAAACTCATTTGCCCTCACTAATCCAGCGGAATTGTCCCACCATGGGTTCGACGTTTACGTTTGACGTGAAAATCTCCACATTCAGTACACGATCAGCGGGCATTGTTCACATCCACTGTTTTATCACGGTTATGCCATCGCATGACGACGTCACTATCCTAACCTAGCGAGCCTGCACCGTCACGACTGCTCTCGCCGACTCTACTCACCAAGAACGGGTAGAGGAAGGTAGTGACCTTGTCGGTGGCGAACTCGTTGGCGGCCTGGCACGTGTAGAGACCCATGTCGGACCACTGGAGAGACTCAATCACCAGCTCACCGTTCGGCAGCACCTGAGGGGGCGGGAGGGTTTACTTCAGGAGGGTCCTACTAAATGGGAGGTCACGGCGGATGCAGAAACAGATAATGCGCGGCCCGGTATCGTGAAATGGTAGGAGAAAGTTCAGTTATTGTAATATGATACGTTTAACGTGATAAGTGTTTATAAATCGGCATTATTGCATTTAATTTGCATGAAAGAAAAATGAGAAAGGTTAAATATGAACAGCCCTGCAAGGCAAAGTAGGCTACTTAACATGTCTATCTCGCAAAACAGTTTCAAAAAATCAACAACGATATACAGGGTGATCCAAAAAAATTGGAACCCCTAACTTAAAATATCTGTAGGTCAGAAAATTTTCACTTAATTGACAAATTGCAAACACCATTAGAAAGAGCGTTCAATTCTCTATAAAACCAAGTTGATTGAAGTTAATTATTACTCTAAATATTGCCCTAGACATATGCCTATAAAATTTGTGTCACGAAACTCAGTGAAACGGTTTTGAACATCATGCGCAAATCAGTGATTGACGGTTTGCTGTTCTGAACAGTGAACATGTCGCTTGTTGGAGGTTCATAAATAAAAATAGCTCATTCACGTGCTATTGTAAGGAAAGGAAAGGCTGACGGCCTGCTGGGACCAGTTGTCCCAGAGACTGCTGGCCCGCGCAGTCGGAGCTGTCCCCAAGCAACTGCAGGCCTGCGTGACGGCCCACGGAGCCTCGCGTTGAGCACATGCTGAGATGAACAGCGGAAGCAAGGACGCGTGTATCTGTTCTACTGTGTGCTTCTGTGTAAACTTTTATGTAATAAAATTGAATTTGGATGTGATGTTATTCGCAAAAAGACAACAGATAGAGTGCTAACGGATTTCAGCGCATTGTTAACATTTGGCGATTTCGTTTCACTCAGTTTTCTGACGCTCATTCCAAAAACTAATAGTGTGCCAATGCTTTACAACATACATGCACCAATTTGACGTGGTTTTATAGAGAATTTAATGTTCTTTCTAATGGTGTTCGCAATTTGTCAATAAAGTGAATACTTTTGGACTTATAGACATTTAAAGTTAGGGGTTCCAAATTTTTTGGATCACCCGGTATGTGCGGTTGTCTCCCTTTCGCCTCCGCCTTGCCAGCCAGACAATCTCTATTGTCCAAATATTGCCCAATGCGTCACCAGGCACCCAATGTGCCTACCCCGGTAATCTTCGGCGCAGACGCCAGGCTTTGGCGGTCAGCCGTTATTGCCTGTGGCGGTGATTGACCCGGGCCCGTCTGCACTGTGTCTGGGTCACAGCCTTCTAGTCATTCAACCAATCCCGAACGACACGTCTCAGAAACGTATCTAAACCTAACCTATTGTTAGACGCAAAGAGCTCAGAATTGGTTGTCAGAAAAACGTAATTGGCTGGCCCATCCGATGGGGATTGCGGCACGGAATGGCCTGAATAGTTTCTAATGAGCTTGACTTCTGAAGCGGCTTGGCTCCACTAGAAGTGTATTTTTGGGTCGTTTGTCGGAGCCCGATGAGGACAGATCCCTCCTCACGCACGTCCCTGTGAAGATGTGTGGTGCCGCTGAACCCTGAACAGCACCAGACTACACGAGGTACCGAGAGACGCGGATAATTGGGATTTATGGGCGCCGCAGCATTCTAATTGTACGGTAGCCAGTATACCTGGGGGACATTGTATTTGCCGAGAGGATAGGAAAAGATGCTAAAAATAGCGCGATCATCAACAATCGCAAGTAATGGCATGAATAGTTAACGTCTTACAGCAGCTGATACCTAGGTACTTGGATGCCCCGCAGCAAAAAAGAAAAGAAAAGAAATATTCACAGCACATTTCGCCATCTATTTATACCATGCTTATAAAGCTGCCATGTGTATGTTTGTACTGCGGGCAGGGGAATGATGAATGGTTATGCTTTGTGAGGTTTTGTGGATGAATTAATTGTAGCCGCCAAAAGACGTCACGCATTGTACTAGAATTCCTGCAATCTATTTCACTGTTCACCCAAACCCTGCCGCGTGGTGCTCGGTTTCTTACCGTGACCCGCGGGTCGCCGGTGGCGATGGGCTCTTCGTTTTTGTGCCATGATATCAACGGGGCCGGGTAGCCGGTCGTCTCGCAGATCAGACGCACCGGGTCGCCGATCCTGTAAAAGGGAGAAGGGGTGAGTCAGCGAAGCGCACAGGGCCTCACGGGGGAGACGGGAGGGGTCAGGGACTCAGGGAGATACGTAGGATGTCAAAGGAAGGAGACTGGGTGGGCAGGGGAGACGCACCGGGTCTTAGGAGGGGGATGGGACGGGTCAGGAGACACACAGGGTCTCAGGAGGGAGACGGAAGGGAGCAGAGAAATACAGAACTTCTCAAGAGGGACGAGGAAGACGAATAAGTGGGGACACAAGGGAAATGCCTCAGGAGGGAGGCGGAATGGTCCAAAGTCTCAGTGAGACGCAGTGGATAACAGGGAAACCGGATGGTTCATGCTTCGTTCAGCTTTTCACCTGTCAGTGCTAGTGCCGGTGTGACAGACACAGTGTGACAGACACAGTGTGACAGACACTGTGTGACAGACACTGTGTGACAGACACAGTGTGACAGACACAGTGTGACAGACACAGTGTGACAGACACAGTGTGACGGACACGGTGTGACAATGAGTGACCTGTCACAGCGCGGTCTCTGTCACAGTCTAATGGCTGGGATCAGCGGTCGGCTATTTCGGGCCGCGTTGTCCTGCCCACCGGACTCCGTCTCCGGGCTGACACGGCTTAAATATGTCAGTGCACTGAACGCCAGCATCCGGCCCGGTAATACGCTACCCAGAAGTTGGCAGAGTCGTTATTTCTTAACTGCAGTTCAGTGGGGCATTAGTGTGAGGGGCTAATCTCGTATACGCCCTGTCGAAGCTTAGTTACATGTCAGACGGCAAGGCTCTGTAGGCTGCCATGGACCATAAAAGCTCGCTGCCAGATATCTGGCCGGTACAGTCAATCATTCGACGATATTAATGGGCTATAGCTAAACGTGGTATGCAGATGGCGGCACGATGTGCATACCGATAAACCGCCAAGGTTCGGAGATTGTTCTGCCGGGCATATCTGATCGGGAACCTTCCTACATGAATAGTAATTACTTCCTGTATTTCGTCTACCGCCTAGCCTCTGCAGTTGGTAACCAGTAACCACCACGCTAGACAAACTGTTACGTCTCAAAGACTGACCGACTTTTTGTTTTAGTCTTGTTTCGCACCATATGTCTCCTGAGCATTATACCTATCTATAGTAAGTTGCGGTAATTACTAAACTACATTCAAATTTATAATTCAAGTAGTCCGTGAATCTACCGACGTCCCTTGCGTGTTTAATGAGTAACAAATGAATGAGGATCCGGCCATGTGTCGCTCACTCCCGGCGCTTGATGTCGATTTTTGTATACTCACTGGGCGAGAATTTGTCTTCTCCACTGGATGATGCGGGCCGGAGACACGTCCATGTCTTTGACACGCTCGCAGAGGGCGGCGCTCTCAACGCTGAGCGGCTCTGAAACAGACGGGACAGGCGTGACAACAGACAGGACAGGCGGCAGAGCTGGACAGACGTGAGACGTAAAAACAGACGGGACAGGCGTGAAAACAGACAAGTCAGACAGCAGACAGCAGTTGATGTGCCAGACAAACATCAGTGGTGGAAAGACGTGAACACAGACAGGACAGGCGTGAAAACAGACAGGACAGACGCGAAAACAGTCAGATCAGACAGCAGAGCGGAACGCACCAGGCAGACACCAGAGCTGGACAGACGAAGGTCGATACAATACCAAGAATAGCCTTTATAAAAGTCGAACATGTCAAACGAGAATTTTTCTTTCCACTGCTCAATGCTAATCCAAGTCCGTCTGATTGAAAATGACTTTAAACGCTCGTGCTCGACTGTCAAAATGTGTTTAAACGAACGTTGAGGTTCAGAGCGACAGAGCATCAAAAGAAGGTACTGATCGGTCTCAAAACCAGACGGTGGATCGGGATGGAAACATCGGCCGATGGGCTGCAGATGACACTGAGCGGGTCGGAAACCACGCGTGAATGACGATCAAGGTATAGACTACATAGACCGAGCGAGTTCACTTCATCGACCGTGTGAGGTCAGAGGTCGCCGTCCTCCCACGGTCCCCGCCGCAGGCCTGACGACAGAATTAACATCGGATAGAGGACCTCGGGGCCGGTAACCCAGTGGAAACGGATGGAATATCGGATCTCAAAGGGATGTGGGCAGCAGATTCTGATGGAGTTCGGTGGACAAATGTGATGCTGAGTAACGCTAGACTGAAGCACAAATGAGCTGTTTGTGAAACACAATCCCGAAGTAATTCGGCAGTTTCATTCTGGTAGAATTACATTTCGGTGATATGATGCCGCGGATAATTATTAGAGAGAGAAGAGATGTGGCATTAAATATCACTAGAATTAAATCTCACTATAGGCGATACTTCTGTACCCTTTGAAATGCTTCGATACAAATTATAACGCTGATATACGAGCACAGCTGCATGTATTCCATTGCATCTAAAGTGCCGAAATGCAGCCTCTATAGATCACACCAATTTCGGTCATTTCTCTTTCAATGTGTATGACAAGTTCACATATGACGTCCATAACAGCCTTGAATTCAAGGTGCTTTGGGTCCTTTCAACAAAGGTACGCACTAAGGTAAATACCGACACACTGGTCACGAATACAGTGGCGTGTGGTAGCGACATACGTCATTGTGCCGTGAGTCAACTGCCGTTTGCCTTCCAGCTCCGTGTGGGCACTGACGGAGGGTTCATGGAGAAGGAGAGTTACCGGAAGGAATGGGAGTGCCAGGGTTACGGGTGTGTCTGATCGCCTCAGGCAGGCACTTCTGGTTTGTGCTGCCGACGCATTCCAGCTTAGAGACGCCTTTGTGGGCGTTTTCCGTTAGTGGAGGCAGCAACTCGGTCATCTGTCTTCACTCGATCGTCGCATTAGGTTAGATATTGGTAAACAATGTCTATGTGTTTGTTGATATGAATATTTATTGAGGAGTGTTGTTGATATTCAGCAAAATTATGTTGTTGATCTAGATGATAGTAGTGATGATGAAAAATGCAAATGTTCCTCAAAAGCTCAGTGGTGACCTCCGATCTCCACTAGTGGCTTCAGGTGTTCTGCGATGAACTCAGGTGCCCACGGGTGACCTCAGGTGCCTACGGGTGACCTCAGGTGCTTAGCGGTGTCCTCAGGGGACCTCAGGTGCCCGCTGGCGGTCATATGACCTGTCTGACGACTCGCGGTGCGGTCATCTGGCCGGTACTCGCAGCGCCGTGCCGTCTGGTGACTCGCGGTACTATCGGTCTCTGATGATGATTACTCCGATCCTCTCGGATTACCGTGATCTCGACGATCCCCGCGTGGTACCCAGTGAAGGAACGTGACCTCTGTGGCCTCCCCTGGCTCAGCAGAGCCGCTCCCTCAATGGACCGCGGCGGGCTCAGGTAGGTGACCTCAAAAGGCAAACAGCGTCACACTGGCAATGGATCGCGGGCGGTGTGATCGGCCGTGGTATGTCGCCGAGACCAGCCATTGACGGCGCTGGTTTCTACGCTGCGATTCCTCAGATGCGGCTCTGATAGCGGCCTCCAGACAGTTGTTCGTGTTGGTGGGTCGCCCGTCGGTACCGATTTGGAAGTCGGTTACGAGTTTGTGGTTTGTAGGTACGCATGATAAGCACCCACAGCCCATTTAAAGGCAGCGCTTCATACCAACACGACACCTTTTACCTAAATTTGCGTTGGCAACTGTGTGACCCGCCGCTGAGTCGGGGCGAGTTTGCGGTCGACTCGTGTGACTAGGAATGGTCTGCGGATCCGGTCGGTGACCTCCGCACCCCTCCGTACCCCTTGTGACGTCACTTACCATCCACGAACAGACGGGTGGACACGCTCTTGGTCTCCGTCGGCGTCTGGCCCCGGCACGTGTAGACACCCTGGAGACAACGAACACCCGTCAGGCACGCTCGCTCGCCTCACATCAGGTGTGCCAGCAGCGCTCCAATCAACATACCACCTCTGACGATGAAATGTGAAACGCCCTTAGCAACACAACAGCTGACCTTAGCTTCATCTCGCTGTTCTGCTGTGTCACGTCCAACAGTAGGTAGCAACAAGTTTTTACGACTCGTGTCTATGTACTTTTTACGACCCTCTGTCCCGTGTAGGTCAAACGATCTCACCTGGTCCCTGGGCGTCACACAGTCGAGGTAGAGCCTCGCGCGAGTGCCGGCGATGGCCTGGGTGGGCTCGGCCGACAGACTGGTCAGACTGTTGGTGCGCTCCTCCAGACTCTCGGTCAGACTCGCCTGCCGGCAGACCACGTGATGCGACGGTCAGGGTATGCGTGCTTCGTTTGAGTGTGACCTAAGGTCACGTGATGCATAGGTCATGGTAGGGTGGCCGGTGGCGCTAGTCACGGTATGGCCACAATTCACAAACCACATCACGACATGAAGAGAGAGGAAGAGTACGACCACAGGTCACGTGGTTATATGTGGGCCAGCAGATGATGGCGCCAGGTCAGGTGTTCAAATCACAGAGCAAGAGATGTCACGGCGCCATGAACTAGACTTAGAGGTGGGACCCAGCGCAATAGATCACGTGACACATGTTTGAGCCCTTGGAGACAGTGCAGGCAGTGTTGGGTTCACAGCGGAAGTCTAATGTAAGCCTTCGTGGGAACTTCAGTGTTCTCTGCTGCAGTGAAAAGTTAACACTAGTTTGTGCCATTTTGCACCAAATCCGCGACTATTCCCGAGAGGTTAATTTCCGCCCAAATTCGAGCAAAGACAGGTACACTAGTTAGTACGTAGAAACAGCATGAAGTTTGCGGCTACCGTTAAATTCAATTGTGGTTGGGTACTTCATCGCAACTGTTGTTGAAACACGTTCAACCTATTTTGGGTATAAACGGGGATGGCTAGCGCAAATAACGGTTCTTTATTTCTCCTCTTCAATAACTTTTACACGAAACGTCAAATGACCAATTCTTATCTATGTGATGCAACAACTACTATGTTGCATCATGCAGTTATATCATGATATGCAACGCTTACAATAGATTTGAAAATCCGAAATTAGATGCCGATTTAATTAAGCATGCCCAATTGCCCAGTTGTGCACGTTACCTACCCACATTTGATGTATTAAAATATTCGCCTATTCGGTTGATACATAATTAACATACCACAGACCGGAACCCTGTAAAATAACGTACCTAATTTGTTCTTGTGCCACCCATTAATGGCTGCTAGAGATAATGGCTCCATATATGATGACATAGCTGTTCATATGACGTTAATCTGATGAGGGATATCTCACATCCATCGCTGAAGCCTTGCATAATGCGGTACTGAATTACCACAAAGCCAACTATGAAGAAATGAGGAAAGCACTGGACGTTGACTGGCAAGGACTATTTGAAGGCAAATCTGTGCATGAGATGGCAGATACGCTTGAACAAACGATCACGGATTTAATGGATAGGTACGTGCCCAAGCTGGACACCAACAAGAAAGCGAAAAGAGGAAATCCACTGTGGATGAATCGGAGTGCTCTTAGAATGGTGAAGAAAAAACATCACGCTTGGGTTCGTTTTCTGAACACCAAGGACAGTAATGATTACGAAAGTTATGTCAAGGCAAGAAATGAAGCTACCCACGCGACCAGGAAAGCAAGGCGGGAATTCGAGTCGAAGCTGGCTAAAGAAGTCAAAGGAAATCACAAAGTGTTTTGGAACTACGTCAACCGTCGCAGGAAATCAAAATGTGGTATCTCGGACTTGCGTAGTGCTAATGGTGAACTGGCAACTAACGACAAGCACAAGGCTGATATATTGAATCATCAGTACGCAAGCGTTTTCACAAAGGAAGACAAGTCATCGATCCCAACGCTAGCTCCAAAGCCTTTGGAGGCAGAGATGCAAGTTGCGATAACTGTTCAGCGAGTCCATGCCAAGCTGAAAACACTGAATATTGATAAATCGCCAGGCCCCGACAACATGCACCCTCGTGTTTTGCACGAACTTGCTGACCAACTTGCGACACCCATCACATCTCTGTTCTGTAAAAGTATTGAAACTGGAGAAGTTCCACGGCAGTGGAAGGTGGCCACCGTCACGCCAATCTTTAAAAAAGGCGACAAAAGTGATCCCGCGAACTACCGACCAGTGTCACTGACATCAATATTATGCAAGATTCTGGAGAGGATCATATGCGAGGACATCATCGCTCATCTGAAGACAAACAATCTTATCGCTCGCCAACAACATGGTTTCATCACAGGGAAATCTACGGTCACAAACCTACTGGAAGCTCTTGATATTTGGACGGAAGCGCTAAGCCACAGCTTACCAGTGGATGTTGTGTTTCTGGACTATGCCAAAGCGTTCGACACTGTGCCCCATGAACGGCTTCTAGCCCAGGTCCAGGCTCTAGGGGTGAATGCAAAGACTCATCAGTGGATAAGGAGTTTTCTAACAGGCAGGCGGCAAAGAGTGAACGTCAATGGATCACTCTCAGACTGGGAGTTTGTAACAAGTGGAGTGCCGCAAGGCTCAGTGCTCGGGCCTCTCTTGTTTTCCATGTTTGTCTGTGATGTTCCCAATCTATTAAATTGTCATATCTCTATGTTTGCGGACGATACCAAGGTCTACCAAGTCATCAACGAGCGCGATGGTGAACTTCACAATCTGCAAGAGGACATCAACTCTTTGCAAGATTGGGCAAAAACAATGCAGATGATCTTTCATCCACTCAAGTGCAAGGTCATGCATCTAGGACCAACAAATCCTGGAAGTGAGTATACCATGACAACTATGGGTGGAGGCAAACATACCCTTGAAGCAGTCTGTGAGGAAAAGGACCTGGGAGTCACTATAGACATGAAGCTATCCTTCTCAAAACATGTCACTAACCAGATTAACAAGGCCAATAGAATTCTTGGTGCAATCAAGCATACCTTTGCAAACATTGACAGCGACATTTTCAAAGCCTTGTACAAAAGCATTGTCAGGCCCCACCTCGAGTATGCAACTGTTATATGGAGTCCCAAGTTCAAAAAGGACAAAGATGCACTCGAACAGGTGCAGCGGCGGGCAACAAGGCTGGTGAACGGACTGTCTCACCTTTCATATTCAGATCGCCTCAGGAGCCTTAATTTACCTACTCTGGAATTCCGACGGAAACGGTCGGACATCATCGAGACCTTCAAAATTTTGAAAGGCTTCGACAAGGTGGACTTCCAAAGAGAGTGCCCGTGTTGTCACAACAGCATGTTCAAGAACTCTCTCAGCCGTGTCACCCGAGGTCACGATCAAAAACTTCAAGTTCAGCATCAATTGGGACCCAGAAAAGCCTTCTTTGCGGCACGAGTAACTCAGACATGGAACAAGCTGTCAACCCACACCATCGATGCTCCAAATGTCGATGTGTTCAAGTACAGACTGGGGAAGGAATGGAAGGACCACCCTGAAAAGTTCAACTACAAGTTCTCATACTAATGATCATCGTGGCCATCAATGTATGGCCTCACCTAGCATGGCAGCCTACTCGTCTTCGTCAGAAGAAGAGGAGGCATCTCTTGAGTAAAGGGTCTGATTACTCGAAAGGGTACCTAATGACCTTTACTTAAGGTAAATACTTAAGGTAAATAATATGCATGCTGAAGTCTGAAAGCATTACCTTTGTAAGAGTAAGGCAGGATGGAACAAAACAGATACAATGAAGGTGTAAACAAGTCTCCCTTCCCAGTATTTGTGAACAGAATACAAATTGTGTGACTATGCGATTTCTTCAATTGTGTTCCAAGAAGTGGCCTGCACTGACAATCCTTACACCTGCGATGACATAGCTCCATTAGACGTGGAAACCGGACGGAACAATGCTATTTGCCTCCGTCCGGCACACTTTCACTCATCATCTGTTTCTGACATCCCTTTCTCTCTTTGTAGGCGAATGAATGATATTTTGTTATGATACTCCTTCATATAGGTCGCCACATCGCGTCTGTTTTTTTCGCCGCTCGCCGACAGGATAATCCTGTTTCTGTGTTAAATGGGACAGGCTTCCAGTCTCGCCCGTCTAACCGGCCGATAAAACCAGCATTTCATCTGGCTTCCGCACATGTTTGACGAGACTCTGTTACCGCGAGTTAGAAAGTGTCGCAGCGACCTTTACCTCACTGGGCACTTGTGTACGTTTTACGGCGTAAGTTGCTGTCTCCCTCACCTGCCCTCGCCCTCGTCCCTCTCTCCCAGACTCCCTCCCTCCCTCTCTCTCTCTCTCTCTCTCTCTCTCTCTCTCTCTCTCTCCCCCTCCCCTCTCACCGGGTGGATGACGCGCCCGTCTCGCAGCCAGTCGATGACGGGCGGCGGCGCGCCACGGAACTCGCACTCGATCACTACGCTGTCCATCTGACTGACCCGCTGGAACGGGGGCGGTACCGCCGAGCCGGCCTTCAGGTACCGGCCCGTGCCGCCTCCTGAGGTCACACAGGTCACACACGGGTCACACATTGGTAACACACAGATACCGGGACCTATAGCGGGTTTTGACCCGGTTGCACTCTCATAGGGTCACATTTCTAATCAGCATCCCTTGAGCCTGCATGAAAAGTGAAATCTACTCTTCTATATCATCAATCGATGTTTTTTTCTGGTCCCCGCTGATGAGCGTCAGAGTTCCTGCCTGACTGGGACCCAACCTTGAGTGTCAGTCAGTATGCCGAGGTATGGACCTCTCAGGAGCCCTGCCCTGTTGAGCCTACCCTGACTCGGCCCTGACCTTACTCTGCCCTGACCCCTGTCTCACCTGATCGCGGTGTCCTGGAGCGCCGTAGACGCGCCAGCGCCACTCCGTCATGGGAGGACACCTGGAAACGGTCAGAGGACGGTCAGCTTCGTATCGGAGCTGAAAGGCAGCGCGGTGGATAACGAGCTAGGTCGATGGATATTTGTAGACGAGTGTGACAGAATACAGCGTCGACGAGTCCTGAGATGATTGCCGTAATTTTCCTTTTTTGTTTAGTTTCGGCGTGGGTTGTTCTTATCCTGCCAATACCAGGGAGGAACAATTTACCGACTCCGGGAACGGTCCAAGCCCAATAACGTTTTGATTGAGTATCGACTAATGCACCCCGGGGTCCATTGAGTAAATGGGATGAGGATCGGTCGGGCCCGGCTCCGCCCGCTCGGTGTGGGGTGCGCTGTCAGCTGCGTCTGATGGGTGACACGCAAACGGTGCCGTGTGGGTGGGGATGCTGAGTTAAACTCACGGCTCGGGGAGACGGGATGTGAACTGCGAACTCGGCTAAGAAGGGGGCCGGTGGGCCCTAAATTACAGCTCTAGCGGCCGGTTGGTGGGGATATTTCGATTCTGATGAACGGTTAGCGGATACTTGGGGTTTCGGTGAGGCAAAACCAAATATTTGGTTGGTGGGAGACTGCTAGTGCGCTGGGCATTGGGTATCACTTAACGGGGTGAATTCTGCTGGGTGTCAACTACAACGGGTGATGGACAATGAACTCCCGGCTCTGTTGGATAGTTGGTATAAACTCCCGACTCTGTGGTGAGGATTGACCAGCTGAACTCACGGCGGGCTGCAGCTGCTGGCGGCTGACGCCGGTCGGCTGGCAGCTGACCAGACTCCATACGGCCAGCAGCGCCGGCAGGCACGACCAGACGCCCATCCTGGGAGGGACAGAGAGACAGAGTCAGAGAACTCACAGAGATAGACCCCTGATCTTTTAGCCGACTCACACAGAGACAGCGGCGCCAGAGAACTGACGGGGACACTGGACGAGTGGCTCACCTCACATCGGGCACATAGAAACAGCGGCACCGTCAGAGAACCCACAGGGACACTGGACGAGTGACTGACCCCGACCTAACATAGACTCACAGCCGGTACACAGAGACAGCGGCACCGTCAGAGAAGCTCACGGGGACACTGGACGAGTGACCGACCTAACACGGACTCACAGCGAGCACACAACACCTGCAGAATACCGACAGAGATCCCAATGTGCGTCTTTATTTACCATTTGTCAAGGCCTGCGCAGGATAATGCCCTATTTATCCTGTGGTTATCCTTATCCTGATCGGCAATTCTTGATTGTTTCATCGCCTGTTAACCCTATTAGTGGCAGGCTCCTGGCTACCCCTATTAGTGGCAGGGGGGGGGGGCTGTTTACGACCCCCCTTGATATCTCGAGATCTAACGGGCCGATTTTCAAAATTCAAACGGCATTCGATTTCGCTCAACATGATCTACATTTCTAAAAAATAAAAATTAAAAAAATGTCAATAGGGGGGGGTAGAGGGGGGTAAAAACGGGCAAATTGCAGATACATTTTAGACTGTTTATCACGGCCAGGTTTCTGAACCAATCTTAACGCAACTTTTGCCGATCGATAGAGAATGAACCAGGAATTCACATGGATCCTAAAAATATGCATTTTCAAAAATCATAGGCGGATACAGATCATTGAGCTTGGGGGTACACAAAAAGTATAGTAAATAAGGTTTTTGTTGGTACTGTTTCTAAAAAGGGTGGTAATGGTCTGTTACAATTTTCTGTTACAATTTATGTTACAATTTGTGTTACAATTCTGTTACGGTTATGTTACAATTTTCTTATGAGAGAACGACTACAATTGTATTGGTCATGCATAGGCGGTGTCAGGGCACCTATGTTGGGAGGTAAAACATAACCCCCCTTTTTGGACGCCTGGATCCGCCTATTATAGCAAAAACGTGTCAAAAGAGGATGCACAATAACTATATATGTTATCACATGATACCTTTCATTCACTGTTCGTAGAACTGGTGCAGCATCGTGATCTTCGCCCAAATGACTCGCTTCACGAATAGGACCCCCCCCCCCCCAATTCCCAGTGCTCTGGAGCCGCCCCTGGTAAAGTTATGAACTTGAAATTTTCAGGGAATGTGCCCAATTTAGTTTTAGGAAAAGTCAGAAAATTTCAGCATCGTAGCTTCAGCGGTTTCGGAGATATTCCCGAAAAACCTGAGGGGTGGATAAAAACAACCCCCCTGCCACTAATAGGGTTAACTTTCAAGAAACAGGCCGTGGCAAATATCGCAACTCAAAAATATCGCTCCTCGAATGGATGTTGGGGTGGCATTTGAGGATTGGAATGTGTCCCATGCTAATGGCTTAAAGTTTAGTCTTTTATTAAGTATCAGCCCTTGGTTTACGAACACTGCTATCTGTAAAATTCCATGAGCTGCGGTCCGCTGGTTTACCGATGTTTGCCCTTTAAATTCAGACAAGCTTAAGCACGTTGCATGAACGTGCTTCACCAATTATGGGCCAAGGTTACAAAATTCACAACTAGCTCTAGCGGATGTTGTCTGCGGCACAGCCAACCACGTTGTTGCGACGCTGCTTCTCTGCATGTTCTGGAAGACTTATCATTGTAATTTCATTCTTCTGCGATGTTTGGGTGTCGCTGGCCCACCACGGTCGGCAGGGTAGCACCATATATCGGCATGGGGGTCCTCCGACCGTGGCCGATTCCTGGAGAAACGTCGGTGCTTATGTCGTATCGTGCATCGGAGGAACCCCTCTTTTTGCGAGTCGCGGCGGAGCATTCACAGTGTTGCATGTATTCTGATATGTCTGACGATATGTGTCTTTTTATCGGCGATTTATCCTCCTGGGGGGGTGGGTGGCCCCTGTAACGGTTGTAACTACCCCTGGAGTGGCCTCAAACCGCGCCGTAGCATACCAGTTGGCCGGCCAATGTCACCTTGTGTGACTTCGGGAACATGCAGGGGTGGCAACAATGGCAAAATCCATCGCCATTCGTGTATGGCAGCCAAGGTGACGCACTTTCTCCGTCTATCTCCCCCCCCCCTCAGATTTGGATGGCATGACATATAATATACGCTTGATTATCCAGTATCCACGCGTCGTGTGCGAATGAATATCGAACCCGTATCAGATTTCCGACGGCGTGTGCCTTCGTACCTGCAAATTCATTTGTAGCATGTTGGCAAGGGGTTGCAGTCATTGAGGATATTCCACTTCCAAGCATGTCTGCACATGCAACGTCGTTGCGGTGCGATGAATCATATGCATGCTTATGGCAAATGTGATTCAGAACGCTGTCGCTAAGTCCATTGACGCAATATATACGTAGAGTTTTAAGTTTGTTGTCAAGGAAAAACGTTCGAAGCGCCAAATCAGTCAAGGTATTTTTTAATGTAACGGTTAGCGGCGGAATGCTTCGACGTCGCACGCTGTTTTTTCAGTTGTCACTTTCCTTTGCCCTACGGACGAAATTGACCGATTGTGTTTACGGCGCAGTCATGAAAGGTCAATCGGGTGGAATGTCGGACTAATGGTACAGCGATTTAGGATTGCAGCGCTGCAGGCTATCGCGACAGGGATTTTTTCAATGGCAGCAACTTCAGTTTACCCGCGACCAGCTCTAAAAACCATATTTCGTAACAACAGTGTAAAAACGTCTCTCCGTCCGCGGGGTGCAATTTATGTTTCTGTGTCATGACTTTTGGTGTTGGTAGTTCTCTAAGTTCCCGAATAGTTTGATGTGGCACACCTTCGCTACAACAGCAGCACAAAGACATGAGTGGTGCTCTGGATGACTGTGCATTGTGCAACCTTTTAGTCCGTTTAAAACATTTGTCTGGTGTGCCCAGCGGCCGCCAGACTGGCGATCTGGGACCCGCATCTGGCCGTCTGTCAGCGTCTCACCGTGTCAGCGAATGTCGGATCGTGACGGGGGAATCCCAGTCTGAGACATATCGACTGAGGCCAGTCCCAACAGCAAACGATTCGTGATAGATGATGTTGGACTTCTACGTTCCCTTATCAAGAGACCTCGACATGTGCTTGATCAAATGTCTTGGAACATTGTCTTTGTAGTCGCGATTTGGGGGAAGCGCATACCCTCGCGGGTCGGAGGCTCGTTTGACCAAATTATCCGATGTAATCGTATGTAGACGTGCGAGTTGGGCCGCAAGTGGACGGCACGCCGATGCTGTGACGGGTCGCGTCTCAGCTCTTCTGCGACCCAATCGTTAATCCCTCACAGTCCTTCCCCAACAGAGTCGCTGTGCACCCGAGCCTCCTCCCCTGCCGCCGCCCCCGCTCTCCCTGCGCAGATCGGGGTCAGCTTTGTGCCGTTAATCGCCTCAGGTGCGCCACTAATCGTCTCACCAGCTCTGCGCCAGAATGGTCCGCGGTGCGCCGCTGCACCGTTGCGCCACCGCCTGCCTGCGCGCGAGTGTTATCACTTCCCTACTATGGCCTGGGGGAGGACCCATAATAGCCGCGGTTATGTAACCAATGCAATGGTTGGCGGCGGCGCGGCTTCACTAAATGGTCCCTTTATGACGTCATTGTGACATATCAGTAGCGGAACGGCTTCCGTTCGGCGACATGGGCCATTTATATCGTGCAGGTGATCGGTATGGGGACATGGAGGCGTGGGAGGCCGCCTCTGACTGAAGAAAGCGAGAGCTAATGTAATATCGACTGTGTTTTGTGTGTTTTTCTGTGAGTTTCGTATAGCTTGTGATTGTAAAGCTTCTGCTTTGCTTTTCAATAGTCCAATGTTCAAAGAAACCAGAACCTTCAATAAGTACTATCAATGGTAAGATTTTGTGGCTTGAAAAAAAAAACTAACCAACAGAAATACCACAATATGTGATAGTTTTAAAAAAAAAAAATTGAAAAAGTTATTTCTCTGTCCCAAAAAAGTAGGTAAGCTCTTAAAATTAGGTCCGTATTCGGTCCCTTGCAAAGTACTGTGTGATGCATCCCTCTGAAATATTGTTTTATCCGTTACACGTTGGGGTCCAATAAATAAAACGAAGCGCGCTTCGACCGCCATTGGACTCGCATTATGTATGCTAACTAGCCGGAATGATGCAAAACAACGCAATGAAACTCGGTCAGTGTTATGCGGCGTGTGCCTCAAGGTTTCACCCACGGGAACGTTGATGAAAAATGAAACTTTGTGGTCAGAAGTCAGCGGGTACAAGCTCATTACATCATACAGGCCATTGTAGATGTAATACGTTGTTTGGCTGCTTTGCAATGACATTTACATTGTCCAGTGGTCGTGAAGCGGTCGCGATTAAAAACGACCTCGGTAATATGTGGTTTGAACAGTGGCAGCGGATGGATGGACCCACCTATACAGTGCTCGAGGTGTTCTATTTCGGGGCGGATGCAGAACGCGGGCTTAACGATTATGGTTTAACACCAGTGGCGGTGCTATCTTTGGACTTTCATTCATTCGGAGAATGAATCTTGACAATGAAGCATCGTTCATAGCTGCTGCTCGGCTCGCAGTGTGTCTGCGCCGTGGCCTGTTCATCTGAGACTAAAAGCTTTAGCACAAATATTGTCCAAGCTGGGAGGTGAAACTATTTCTGAGAATAGATAGACAAACCGTACAAGCTGCAGTCTTCCTTTTCTTAAGCTCAATATGCTATCTCGTGGCTATAGTCACAAGCTTGAGATAATTCGGTAAGACACACCTTTTCTTCTCTGCTCGATCGGCGGCTATTCTGAGCCGCGCCCCTGCCGACCTCAATGGCGGCTGTCGGTGGCACGTGTCATATCTGGTCCTCCCACCCCCGCCCATATCGGTCCTCCCACACCCGTCCATATCGGTCCTCCCTTCCCCGCCCTTCCG